AATCCAGACCTGTCGCTTCTGGGGCAAGATTTTGGGCCTGGAAATGAACTATATTATAGCGGAAGCACAATTACGTGAAGGGGAAGAGGAGGAGGAAGCAGGAGAGGAAGTTACTGAGGAAGAAGTGAAAGGGATGGAGGAGGCCGAAGAGCAAGATGAGGAAAAAGAAAAAGAAGATGAACCACCAAAGTCCACCTATAAACCCCCACCTGATATCCCAAAAGAAGAAAACGGGACTGGGGCTAATAAATATGTCTACTTTGTCTGTAATGAGCCAGGCAAACCCTGGGTGAAGTTGCCTCCAGTGACACCAGCCCAGATTGTCTGTGCCAGGAAAATCAAGAAGTTCTTCACTGGTCGGCTGGATGCTCCTGTTGTGAGCTTTCCTCCTTTTCCTGGAAACGAGGCCAATTACCTGCGTGCACAGATAGCTCGAATCTCAGCAGGAACCCATGTCTCTCCCACTGGATTTTACCAGTTTCCAGAAGAGGAAGAAGAGGAAGAAGGTGGGGACACATATGAAGAAAATCCTGAATTTGAGCCTCCTGCTGTGGCTGAAATGGTGGATTCTCTCTCCACGTGGGCACACCATGTAAAGAATATTCTGAAGCAGGTATGTGCTCAGCAGGTGTGTGCTCACACTGAGCACCATTCAGATACCATTCACACTGCAGTACTTGTACAGTACAGAATGTCAATGGCACTCCTCACCTGCACGTTCAAGCTATGGTATTGGACTGCCACGTTTTTATACAGAAGATATATTTTATATATAATACGTAAATATCTTGCACATGTATATATATATATATATATATATATATATCTTTAGAAACCTTCTAGATTTAGTACTTTTTTCAATTATGTGTTCTTGAGGTTGAAACCTATCTTTAGATAACAGTATGGAGTTAGGCCCTGATAACTATGATTTCTGGTAATCTTTTGTATTAGGTTCTCTGCTTTGATATCCTTACTTGACAAAAATGTTTAAAATTTTCCTTTCTTGGGTAGGATGCTAAAATGCAGATAGCTTTTGATTGTATGCTAAATGGAACTTATTTGTTGTTTTCTTCTTTTTGTTTTATACTTTCTGCTGTAAAACATGCAAGTGAAAAAGCTTAAAAGCATGTGCTATCAGGCCTGTGGTAGAAAGAGGTATTACTAATTTGATGATCATTGCTGGATGGTTGGCTGGCCAGTCTACCAGTTCAAGAATGCTAGTGTAATATAACAGCAAATGGTAGGAAATGAGGTTTAAACTTACTACCAGCAAAACAACAGTTGTAAAAAATAAAGTTTATACGCACGAGAGTCTTAAGAACATGTTCCTCTGACCGGTAGCTAAATAACAAGGTAGATTTTAAAGGAAGAGGTAAAGTCCATATGTTAAGCCTCTTAGTTTGCAGTAACTGGTAGTCTAGCAAGGATATAAATGAAACTGGTCAGGAACTGAAGACTACAAAATCACAAAAAACTAATGGCAGAGGTATAAGGTTATTCTGAAATAGTAAGCAGGGATGAGTGAGGAAGGAGGGAGGAAAGAGGAATATAGGAAATGCTCTGCCAAGAGGATACAATATTCTACCAAGAGGATACAATATTCTGCCAACAATATATCGGTTATGGAATACATATTTTTCTTCTCCCTACCCCTTAACTCTGTGTGTGTGTCTGAGCCAATTGTTTTAACTGGCTTGCATTCTTTCAGTGATTGTTACATGTATTTATTATTTTTCCGTATCAATTATAGGGTCGCTGTGTTTGGATTAATCCTCAAAAATTAGAGGAAAAAAATGAAGAAGAGGAAGAGGAGGAAGACGAGGAAGAGGAGATGGATGAGCAACAGGCAGAAACAGGACCACCCCTTCTTACTCTGCTCTCTGAAGATGAAGGTATTCTTCATGGAACATGAAGTTTTTGATAGAGAGCCACTAGGAATGTTGGCATCTAGGTAGTAAATATTTGAAGTTATAGGACTCTGGCACTTTTTGGAGGAATATAGTTTGCCCCTGTGGGGTAAACACATTCTTTTAGAGAATCAATCAAAAGCAAAATGGTTAACAGTATTGACATTAAAATAATCAGGTTTACTAGGTAACAATCTTGTTGAGATTAAAGGGAAAAAAATAACTTAGACTTGTCAGGTTATTGCACATTCAGGACAGCTGAAATACATTCAGCTATTTTTACCTCATCTTTTTAGGCCAAAAAGAAAAGTGTATGTGCATGTGTAAATAAATAAATTAATTAATATGTACACACATACACTGATGTTTGGTATTTGTATAAACATTTAGATGTTTTAGCATATTACTGCAGCAAATCATGGGAATAAGGGAGCCTGGATATTAGATTACATCAATATTAAATTATTTTCCTACTCTCCATTCTTTAATGGAGGTGAAATATAACTATATAATGTATCCATAAGTGCTAAAAAGTCCTTGACAAAAGAAACCAGGGTTAATGCTACTGAATTTGAGTAGCATTCCTGTGGGTCTCTAAGAATTCCTATGCTACCTGCTCATACATTAGAGCCACTTGTTCAGATACAGTTTATTGTTTCTGACTTTTGGCTCTTCTAACATGCAACTTAATATAACTCTTGCTTGAATTCTGTAAGTCTTTCTGTAATTCTGAAAATCTTGTAGCTCAGTCTTAAATGTTTTGTAGAGGCTTCTAAGTGCATTTATTCATAGACAGTGTGTGTTTGGCTGCCTCCAGGAATTAAAGACATCCCTGCTTGGACAGCTCAGCATTCTACAAACCTGATCCCACAACACTCTGTTGCAATTATCCAGTCTAACCGGTGGCCTGGAGCATATGCCTTTGCATCTGGCAGGTGAGAATCTAGTTGACATGGTTACAACACAGACTGTATATGCTACACACAGGCACCTGGCAAAGTTGCTTTATTATTAATTCACTGACTGAATTCTAACTATTCAGGAGACTGATGGAGAAGGCCACTTGAATGTGCACAGCAACAGTAAATATGTATTTAAGAGTAAAAACAAATAATCATTGGAAAGACTGGAATAAAGTTAGTGGATGTAAATGTCCAGTTAGTATTTGGGCACAGTCCTTGATTTAAAACCTGTGTTCTTGGGTCTGTGGTACTTTCTACAAAAACATGTACATTCTGTGGTTCTAATGTTCGTTTGTTTCCACTACAAATAGTACAGTCATGACCTCCACCTGCTTTTAAAAAGGCACTGGAGTTGGTGTCAGAAGTGGCGCTATGTTGTTACCCGAGTGAAGTTGGAATCATATTGCAATATAGTGCAGTGACACTTCATCATTTTAAACAGAAGATGTATTAATCAACCATTAGAGCAGTTAAAAAAGGTGCCATCTTTTAAATTCTTCTGTTATAGGATATCTGTAACTTTTTGCACAGCAGAGTAAGGAAGCCTGACAGTATCTCTACTGATATTTTGTCAGGGGCTGAATGTTTTCTTTCACTTCTCTTTCTCAGGAAATTTGATAACATCTACTTTGGCTGGGGTCACAAATACAGTCCAGAAAACTACACTCCCATCCTGCCCCCACCAGTGCAAGAAGAATATCCCAGTGGTCCAGCGATCACTGAGGCAAGAGACCCCACTCTGGAAGAGGAACTGGCTTTCAAGGCTGCGCAGGAAGCTTTAGCTGCAGGTGAAGAAGAGGAAGAGGAAGAGGAAGAAGAGGGGGATGATTAAAATGTGGGGGAAAACATATTGTTTTAAAACTTTAAACGTGAATAGTATTTTCATGATGTAGTCATTAATTTGTTGACCTTAAAAGAAATGCAATTGGAGCATACCTTCTTTTTTGATTTCTCTAGGCTTCTCTTTGCAGCTACCTTCCACTCTTCCTCCACCCCTAAAGCCCTTTATGAAGACTGTGCAATGAACGACTTAGCCTTTTTCTTAAATGACTGTGCAGTCTGCTTGCTAAAATGATACTGATTTAAACTAAGAACTATAATTCACCAAATGTTCACACTATTTTTCTAACCCTCACTTCGGTATTTTAAATAAAAAAAATTATAATCACATAACAATGTGTGAAACGTGTGCTTTTGTGTGTGAGAGCATTCTGTTTAGATTCAGTAGGCAGCTTATCGAGGTACTGGCCAAGTGCATGGGGATGACACTGATCAGCAGCACTGCTGAGGCCGCACTTCGAATCCTCTGTTCAGTTTTGGGCCCCTCACTGCAAGAGAGACATTGAGGTGCTGGAGTGTATCCAGAGAAAGGCAACAGAGCTGGTGAAGGGTCGGGAGCACAAGTCTGATGAGGAGCGGCTCAGGGAGCTGGGGGTGTTTTATCCTGGAGGAGGCTGCGGGGTGACCTTATCGCTCTCTACAAGTACCCGAAAGGAGGTTGTAGCCAGGTGGGGATCAGCCTCCTCCTCAGTTACAAGCGATATAAGAAGAGCAAACAGCCTCAAGTTGCGCCAAGAGAGGTTTAGATTTGGATATTAGGAAAAATTTCTCTATGGAAAAGGCTGCCAAGGATTGGAACCGGCTGCCCAGGGCAGTGGTGGAGCCACCATCCCTGAAGGTATTTAAATGCCCTGTAGCTGTGGCATTTCAGGACACGGCTTAGCGGTGAATACGGCGGTGCTGGGTTTACGGTCAAACTCGATGCTCCTGGAGCCTTTTCCCCGGGGCAGCCACCCCTCCATCCCCGCACCACGGCCGCGCCGCCGCTCGCATCCCTGGGCGGCACCACCACAGCGCTGCCGGCAGACGGGAGGGGGGGTTTCACGGTAGAGCTCAGGGGCTGATCAGCCTGTCCCTCACTGCGCTTTCCTTGACTGTCTCCCTCGCTCCTTCTCCCCCCCCAGCTGCTGGCGAGTGGTGCGCTCCGCATGCGGCCTCCGTCCCACGTGGGCCAATAGGGAGCGGTCTGTGGAGCAGTTCAAACTGCGGCGGCGGTTGGGGCGGGCGGTGCCTGTCCAGAGCCGTGTCGGGTCCCTGTCCCGGTTCCCGGTCTCCCCTTGTCCCGGCGGGCATGGCGGACGAGGGGCGCGGTCACGGTCTGCGTGCGTGTGCGGCCTCATCGCCAGGTGAGGCTCCGGACAGGCGGGAGGGGAAGGCTGCAGTGGCGTTTACCCCAGAATGCTGCCATACTCCTCGCACCGTGAGGGGGCCGGGGCAGGGGCAGGAAGACGGTGTCTATCCCCGTGGCGGAAGGAGGGATCCAGATCCCTCCGGGGTAGAGGGTGTCGCGGTCAGGGGTCTGTGTTACGGGAGCAGAGCCCTGGCCCGATGAAGGTAACAGAGTATCTTCTTCTCTTAGAGAAAATGCTTCAGGAGATAAAGTGTCCCTGCATTGGAAGAGCGAAAATAATACTGTTTCCGACGTGAATGGTACCAAAATATTTAGTTACGGTAAGAATGTGAAAGCAATTGCTTTGCTTTGATGCTTATGCGGACCTCCGCTCCTGTACTGCTTGAACGTGTCGACGTGAGTTTCCTGAGCTTCCTGCAGTGTCCCTCACCTTTTCCAATTTCATAATTCTGAAGCAATGTCGTTGAGGCACAGAGGATTTCTGGTTTAGGCAACACTGGGAATGTGCTTTTGAAGTCAGCTTCCTGGTGGACGTTGCTTTCTCTGTTCTGATTTATGTTCTAATGGCTGTGGAACACATGAACTCTGTTCTTTTCATATGAAATCCAGTTACAGACTAGACCAGGGCTAGTCCAGAGCATTTAGGGAGAAGGGGGTGGGGGGTAGTGAGTTGACCGTGGCTGGTTGCCAAGTACCCACTAAAGTCACTCTCTCACTCTCCCTCTGCAACTGGACAGAGGAGAGAAAAAAAACAGCTAAGGATTCTTGAGTTGAGATAAGAGCTGGGAGAAGTCACTTACTGATTACTTTCAAGGGCAAAACAGACTCAAAGTAGAGATATTAATTGAATTTATTACTAACAGGATCAGAGCAAAAGAGTGAGAGGTAAAATAATCTAAAGAGACCTTCACCCCACCCCTGCTTCATTCCGTGCTCTCCCTCCTCCCCACCAGCAGTGCAGGGAGACAAGGAATGGGGGTTACGGTCAGTTGTTTCTGCTGCTGCTCAGGGAGAGGAGTCCTTCCCCTGCTCCCGTGGGATCTCTCCCACGAGACACAGTCCTTGATGGACCTCTCCAGCATGAGCCCATCCCTCGGGCAACAGTTCTTCATGAAACTGCTGTCCTGTGGGTCACTCCTCCATGGGGTGCAGTCCTTCATGAATGAGCTGTATCAGTGTGGGTCCCCCACAGGGGCCACAAGTCCTACTGGGGAAAAACCTGCTCCAGCATGGGCTTCCCTCTCCAAGGGCTGCAGGTCCCCAGCAGGACCCTGCTCCATCTTGGGCCTCCCACAGGGTCACAGCCTCCTTCAGATATCCACCTGCTCCAGAGTAGGCTCCTCCATGGGCTGCAGGTTGATCTCTGCACCCTGATGGTCCTCCATGGGCTGCACGAGGACAATTAGCCTGTCTTGTCTGATTTACAATCCTCAGGGATAAATTAGCCATAACTATACTAAATAGGATGACTGTTTAACTGTGTCCTCCATTCTTACAGTTTTATTACTTATCTGTCATCTGTGCATCGCATGTTTCTTGGTTTTGTGTTTAATATTTATTTTAAAATAAAATTCTAAAAGCCTGATTAGTAGTGCCACAGTGATATTTTATGTTTGAATTACTCTACAAACAGTGATGCCTATTTATTGGATTTGAAGTCAGTGATACTGAGTAAGATGATAGGTTGGTTTTGACTTGCAATACAAGAGATTCACATGCTTTATTTTAATTTGTTTTTAAGATCGTGTCTTTCACTCCAGTGACAACACTCAGCAGTTATATGATGGTGTAGCTGTTCCAATTATACAGTCAGCTGTGCGAGGTTATAATGGTAAGTTTTAAAACTGTGTTTAAATCCTGTTTGTAAAGTGTTTTACAAATAGTTGGTAAAACTCTACTATCTTTCTAGGCACAATTTTTGCTTATGGACAGACTGCTTCAGGGAAGACTTACACAATGATGGGAAATGAAGATTCTGGGGGCATTATCCCTAAGGCAATTCAACATGTTTTCAAAATTATTTGTGAGGTGAGCAATTCCATTAAATTGAAGTGACTGAAAGGACTAGTAGTATTTGTGATCGTTACATAAAAGTTTATTTAGTATCAAGGAGCTTATGAGGGAAGTGAATTTATATTAGACTATATGTTGCAGTTGCTTTGCTAGCCTGGAAAAGATGAGTGGTTTAAAACAAAAAGCTAATGGGACTTTAGTTGAAATTAAATCAGAGCAACACTGACGAGGGTTCTTAAACTTGCAAATATGTTCAACATTGATTACAAGTATAAATAGATACTCGCTTTTTCATGTGGTAGATAAGGTAACATGAAGCTCTGTGTTTATTCTGCTATTTTAAAAGTCTAAAAAATTAACAGCAACAAAGACTTTTTTTTTGGTGGGAAGAATATGACACTATATTTACTTATTTCAGACTTACAAAAGAATTGCTAATTGCTCAAGGTTAATAAAAGTAAGGAGAAGGTGTAAGTTAAAACAGTGATTTCTAAAACATGATTTGTAGAGCGCTTACTTCTGCCTTGAGGGTATCAGGTAATCGTTATCAGTTAAGTGAAATGCTCTCTGCTCCTTTAAGGAGGTGCAGGGTACCTTGGGAGGTTTATGAAAGTAACTGAAGCCAAGAAAACTTTCCCTGAGTTCATTGTGCAGCCTTTCCTCACTCCAATATTCTCTACCAGGGAGGTAAGGGAAGAAGCAGCAGCAAAGTAAATCCAAACAAGCAGAGAGGAAAGAGCCTAAGCAGGAGGAAATTGGTTATGAAAAGGGTATTTAAGTGGGAAAACCGTTCTCATGCTTCTGTGGGGCAGTTATCTTAATTTTACAACCTATTAGAAGTGGTATATCTTTAATGCAGCTGGAAAGAGGTGGTATAGAAGAAAAATTATTCTGTATTGGTAGATGCTAATGCTACATAGAGGATGAGGGGAAAGAAATCTGTAGAACAATATCCAAACATACATCTCTGAGTTAAGAATACTTGCATTAAAAGATATCCATCAGTTAGTCTGTTAATAATTTTTTTTTTCTCTTTCAACGTTAGATCCCAGATAGAGAATTCTTGCTAAGAGTTTCTTACATGGAAATCTATAATGAAACCATTACAGATTTGCTTTGTGATAGTAGGAAAAAGAAGCCTCTGGGAATTCGTGAGGACATTAATGTAAGTGGACCTTATGTAATGTAAGTGTTGTATCTGCTTGTAGTAAAAGAATTTGAAAACAAAATGCCTTCAGAGGCATCTAGTTGAAAGCTTTTCTGAGTCAAATTGTGTAATTGTATCCTCAGCATTAGCAGGACACTTGATATAGTAGAATAACAACAGTGACTTTGGGCTTTCTGTAGCTAGTTTACCTTTTTCAAAGTAGATACACTTTTCTTCTACTTATAATCATGGAATAACCATGAGACTGGGACTATTCAGTAAAACGATCACCATAGAAAAAGAAATCTACTTTAACGCCGTTTCAGTTTCTTTATGTAAAGTTTTGTAGCAAATAATGTTGTTTTGTTTTGGGTTTTTTTTTTAATTTTGATGCCCTAAACAATGGATGTTTTTGGAATATGGGAAGAAGAGAAATTTACCAGTTGTATGATTATATCCTTATAACGTTTACTGAAAAATATATTCCTGGATTCCCTCAGAAGATGTCCAGAAGGATATTTCCCCCAGCAGTTCTGTTTTTTGGAAACTTTCTAAATCTCTGGGTTTTGATTCTTGTGCCTTTAAGCCACAGTTTAGATGAAGGTCTAAACTTTATCCATCCCTTGTGTTTGGAGTAAAAAGACATTCAGCTGTTGAATAAATAGCATAATAATTGCTGGTTATGTTAACTTTATGTATTGAAGTGAGTTTTGGAGTTCAGGAGAATTTATGACTGTGTTTATTCTGCAGAGGAATACATATGTAGAAGATCTGATTGAAGAAGTAGTGGTTGCCCCAGAACAAGTTATGGAATGGATAAGAAAAGGAGAAAGTAAGTTATTTAGCCACTGTCAGCTGATATTTAAAAAAACATTGATGGATCAGGTATATCTAGAACCGTGGGGTATCTTTTTGAGTTTATATTCAGAAATCAGTGTTTTTGAGAAAGTTTTAAAATTATGCTTTTTTTTCTATTTATCTCCATTTTATCAAAATAGAAGCAGAAGTATTTTAATATTGTTTTTGGCAGGAAATCGTCATTATGGAGAAACAAAAATGAATGAGCACAGCAGCCGTTCTCACACGATCTTCAGAATGGTAAAAACTGCTTCACTATTAGGAGTGGTTGTATTGTTTTCAAAGTGACAAAAACTTGATTGCACTTTACTGCATTTCTAGATCATTGAAAGCAGAGAACGAAGTGACCCTGCAAATGCAAACTGTGATGGAGCAGTCATGGTTTCCCACTTGGTAAGTGTCTAATGGTTTCTTGGAGTACAACTTAGCTAGAGAATTTACTGTTACCACTTGTTTGAGAGAATAACGATACTTCATAATGACTTCCAAATATGCTTTGTTGTTAACTTCTAGCAGACATTTCTTAAGTATAGAGGGAGACCCCTGGGGTGTTACCTAGAGGATAACTTCCCACCGAAGGAAATGCTGACATGGGAATTACTTATGCTGGACTGGGGAGTGTTACGTAGCCCTTCCAGGAGCAGAAGGGGCTATGTCAGAGTGCTCTTGCATTTTGTGAAGTACATCTTCCCCTACAATTGTTTCTGACCACCCACAAGCTCAGTGAAATAACTTGTAAAATGGGTAACCTTAAGACTTCTCTTATCCTCTTTGTTAAAAGATTATTTGCCCTGCAGCTCCAATGACCAGAAGATTCATTTTTTTTCACAAGTAACCCCTCTTAGCATCTCTTTGGTGGATTATTGGTATCTGAAGTATCATAAACTGGGGGGAATACAACTGCTGATCTCTAGGGGAGTGTTATGGTTTCAGAAGCCTTCTCTACAGCCTTTTCTTGATTCTCAGAAAATAATCTGAAAAACTGGAGGAATGGAATCAGTATGAAACCATTTGAGCTTGCTAAAATCTGCAAAAGCACTCTGGAACTGGCAATAGCATTAATCACATGCATTGTGAAAAGAGCTTTCTGTTTTGGCTTCATGTGAAAAAGCTCAGAGTCTGAAAGTAAACACTGCTCAGGCACTATTTCAGCAAGCTACTACCTCCTTTTTTTCTTGCCATAAGTTATGATATCTACTCTTCTTACACTACCCCTATCCTTTGGCCTATTCCACCTGACCTTATACTAACCTTTACCTGGGGTAAGGGGAGAGGTTTTTGGCCTTTTTGGTCTGTTGCTGCTTGATGGAGTTAGTACAGGATTTTACCCTTCTGAAACAAAAACCAGCTAAAGTGAGGGCTACTTGCTCAGGCAAATCATTATGGGTTGTTGTGAAGTTCTAATTGACTTTGAACTGGATTCAGAGGGAGGCTTTTCCTCTGGTATTTAATTTCTTCTTTTCTGTATCCCCACAGTGACAGGCAAGGAGAGACATACAGCTGGTTCAGGACAGTGTGCTAGATAATCTCATCTAGGCTCTTTTTTCCATGAAAGATTCCTATGGCTTGAATTAGTAGCTAAGCACAGTTTCTCAGTACAGAAGTATCATCTTTTTGTTACTGAGGGTAGGGGTTCTTGCACTGCAAGTTTGAAATACTGTTTGGGGTGGTGTAATAGAGTTCATACAAACTTATTCTGTGTACTTTTGTACCTTGAAAGTATGGGCTGATGTGTGTATAGCAGTGTGCTGGTTTAAAAGTTAACCAGCAGGGGGAATGAACCCAACTCAAAGGAGAGATTATAAGTCAGAATAACAATTTATTAAAATAATACAGTAAGTACAATAATACAAACAAACAATTGGTCTCAACCCACAAAAACCCAAATGTGTAACCCAGTACCCTGGGGCCTGAACAAAGTGGTGTTCCTTGGGCCCTGTTTAAGTCCAAAGTAAAGGGAGAGGGGAAGAACCTGCTGGTGGGAGAGCTGCTGCAGTCTGGGCAGAACTGGTGATCGCAGTCCAGTGGTGGTCTAAGTCTGGTTGAGAGCGATGAGATGCAGCCGTCCTCTGGATCCCACGAGTGGGTTTAAAAATGTTCCAAAACTCCAAGATTATATATCCTCCAGTTCAGGCAGGAATGTTCAGTGCTCCCCTCAGGGCGGGGAGTTTCACAAAGGGTGTGAGGACAGAAACATCTTCCTATCTCACAGGCCTCTTAACACCTAGTTTATAGCCTGAGGAGTCAGGCTCTATGGGCAGAAGGTGCGAATAGTCTATTGACAACAATAGTCTAGTTTCTGGGAAATGACATGGAAGGCTATAGAATACAGTTTTGGGTTACACCCACCATGCTCTATGGGCAGAGGGTGCGAATAGTCTATTGACAACAATAGTCTAGTTTCTGGGAAATGACATGGAAGGCTATAGAATACAGTTTTGGGTTACACCCACCATGATGAACTGATCTCAGCTGTCCTAACTAGGACAAGCAGCTATGGTTACTTCCAATAATGACAGACCTCTTGGGGTTTTTTAAGTGTAACTGTGGTTTATGAAATTCTTAGCAGAGATTTAGAATTAAGAGGATTTAAACTAAATTCTCTCAGAACTAACCTGTGAAATATTTCATAAATTTGCAGAACTTGGTAGATCTGGCAGGCAGTGAAAGAGCTAGTCAAACAGGATCTGAAGGTGAGTGTTAAATGGGGCTCTCCTGATGACCATTTCTGTTAATTAACCCTAACAAGAGACTATGATAGGAAATTCTTTGATCTATGTGCTATTGTGTTACTTATTGTCTATAAATAAGCTCTTTTCCCCTTGGTAGAGCAGGTTCTACTCAGGAAAATATTGTAAATGCTGTAAAGTGCAAACAAGTAGTAATATTCCTTTTCTAGAGTAGCAGGCCTGGCAACAGTCATGCACTGAACTAATAGAATGGAGATGACTCAGTAAAGATTCACCTGTAATAACAAAATCACTAGAAGCTTTTTAGGGACTTGTATATAAAGGTGAAGAGGGAGTAGATGGCTTGTTCTTTAGCTATTGAGAAGCTTGGCTGTTAAAAGTGACAGCATGAAGCTGCACAAAAATGTCTTTATCAGAAAAAAGTGATCTGAGAGGGATGTCTTATGAAGAGTGACTAACCCAAAACTTGTATCGAAGGCTGGTTTGTTATGCATGTAAATGTTGCAATTGCAAAATTTAAACAGGAAACAAAATTAAAGTTCTTATAGCACCACCTACTTACTCTATAAAGGTTCTAAATGTTCATTTGTGATTACTCTCTTACTTCGATGCTTTTTGGCTATTACAAAGGATTTGATACTGCCTGCTGATGGCTCATAGTGCATTGTGGCACTTGAGATTCAACTCTTGGATAATCCTTCTGAGCATAACATAGCACACAAGCTTGACAGGTTGAAAATGTATCTTAATGTTTTAAATTTAAAATAATAATAATAATTAAAAACATTACTGTGTGGTACCTAGGTGTCCGATTGAAAGAAGGCTGCAATATAAATCGGAGCTTGTTCATTCTGGGTCAAGTTATCAAAAAACTTTGTGATGACCCTTCTGGGTAAGCAACTGTTCATACACCTGTTATAAGATAAGTCACTACTAAACTAAGAAATTAAAATCCTTTATTTATAATATTTTGTAGGTAACTGTTTCAAATAACCTGTTATCTCTAGAAAATATATTTACTGCGAGTTTCTTCTATGCAAAAATCCGAATGATTTTTTTTTTTTTCTTTCCTCTTTTTCATTAGCTTCATAAATTACAGAGACAGCAAGCTGACTCGAATTCTGCAGAACTCCCTTGGAGGAAATGCTAAAACTGTTATTATTTGTACAATTACTCCAGTTTCTTTTGATGAAACACTCAGTACTCTTCAGGTAAAACTTCTCACCTCTTCTCCAGCACTATTCTGGCTGAAGGCTTTGTTGTAGATAGGGGAGGGTGGAAAATGTAATCTGATGGATCTTTAATGACTTGGATCTTCTAAAGGGCTTCTGTGGACTCAGAATTTGAAATATTTGTTTTGTATACAGAACCTTTTCACAGTCGTCATTTTGTATTAGCTTGTCTACCTAGAGCTTTCTGGGAGTTGGAACAAAGCTCCTTCTCTTGCAGGCAGGAGATAACCTCTCTTCTCATTTGCCTTTTCCAAACACAGTTAGAACAAGTCTTTGCTAACACAAGATTTAAGACTGTTAAAGAACACTGTTCTGTAGGTAGGATTGTCTTCCTTTTTGGTGGTCTTTTGAGCTTTCTATTAAATAAAAATAATGTGGGATATATTTGCTTAAATGTTATGCTTCATGTTTTAGATATTAATATCAAGCAAAGAAAACTTACTTTTCAAATCTCAGAATACATTAAAAATAAACCAATTTCGATATTTGTGTCCCTATTATATGCTGCTCTTTATCTAATAAACTCTCCCTTTAATTCTGTTGGGAAATATGGGACAGAGTAAGTCTTTTTAGAATATTTGTTCTCGAACTATTGCCCATGAAAGCATATTCTTTCAGTTTGCCAATACAGCCAAAGGAATGAAGAATACACCAAAAGTCAATGAAGTACTTGATGATAATGCCCTCCTGAAGAGATACCGAAAAGAAATTGTGGACTTGAAAAAGCAGCTGGAGGAAGTGTGTAATAAACTTCTTAAAATTAATCTATCCGTAGCACTGATAGCTGTTTGGAAACTACCTGTTTTAAACCAAAAGCAGTTAAATTTGCAGGAGTAGGTAAAGTGTTTAAAGTGATATGTCATTTTTATTGAGAGAATAGAAGTTGAAAAGGTGATGTATAGTCTAGAACAACTGATGATAGTCCATATATCTGTGAAAGCTAACACTGAGATCAACTAAGAGAATTGCTTTCTTTCACTAGGTTAATATAATTAAGAAATAGAAATTTGTCACGCATTATAGCACACTTTAACAGATCAAAATTAATTGCAATATAAGAAGTTACTGAATGTCCATTAAAGACCACAATTTAATCCATATTTTTTCCCCCCTACTAATGTTTAACCTTAATTGGAGTTGCAAAAAGTTGCAACTGCATTAAGATCACTGGCAAAACTTAGGTCATGTAAAGTCAGAAGATACATTTAGAAAATGAACAATAGTAACTTCCCACAAAACAGTGTAATCTCTCATATGTTCATCTTTCTCTAAAAATCTATGTAGTTGTGGAGCAATCTTGCAAGTCTTGTTAGAGCATAGATGTTAAAACATAAAGCACAGGAAAAAAACAATGCTGAACATACTGTTGTGGTGAATAAAATCAAAGTATGCACATATATTATGTTGCAAATTATAAATATCCTTAGAAAAAAATTTATGAAAAATAACTGACCTCTTATTTTTAACAGTAATTAATTTGCACCTAGGAGTATGTTTGCTATCTTCTGAGATAGTAAGTAGTGAGGAAAGTAGTACAGAAAAGTTTGTTGGAAAATTTCATGTGACTTTGAATTACTCCACAACATTGTAAGCTTATGATAAAGTTGTCAAAAAACAGCTGTTACTTTCAAAACAATACATTTTCAGTACTTGGATTTAAAGAGACCACATGCATTAGAGTAGCTTGCTGTTACTTGACAATTGAATCGTAGTTCTGAAAGAGTTTCAGGCTTCTGGCACCACGGGAAGGTCATCTAATCTATGTCATATTTGAAAGAATGTTTTTTTTTTTATCCCCAGAAAAATCTGAGGCTGTATTGTTTCTGGGAGTTTTGACCCCTTTTAAATACTTAGTCTGCAGGTAAATTGTAGACTAAGTTGTTAGTTTCATTATGAAAGACTAAAGACTCCTCTTCCAGGTTTTAAAGAATATATGTGTGTAGTTGTTTTTAAATATCAGTAATTGTGTCTCTTCTGTAGGAGTAGTTTGTGCTCTTAAAATGTCAGTTTGATTAATATTCTTTTTATGGAAGGTGTCTGTAAAGACTCAAATTCATGCAATGGAAAAGGACCAATTGGCCCAGCTGCTGGAAGAAAAAAATTCTCTCCAGAAAGTACAGGAAGACAAGATACGAAATTTAACTGAGATGCTGGTGACCGCTGCTTCCTTTGCCTCAAAAGACAATGTTAAAGTAAGCACCTGTTCTAGATCTTACTTGACAACTCTGAAATACTTTGTGAAAGGTAATATTAAATACATCGGGTTATATTGACAATGAAGAATAAGTATGATAAACAATTTTCGCTTTTTTTCCCATATTTTTAAGAGGCTAACTTATAAAATAACTTCCAAGTATAATTCAGTATTGCTTTGCAGTGAAAAGACTGCAGACACTTTTCCTTTCAAACTACCATGCTGTAAATTTTGAGGAAACTGCAAAACCCTGTCTAGTTAGCTGCTGGTACTGTTGCAGAACTAGCCTAATGCAACATTTACTCTCTACCTACTGGTTTGATTTTTATCACTTTTCTGTAAATGCTTTTTTAAAGGCCAAGAGAAGAAGAAGAGTTACTTGGGCTCCTGGTAAAATAAAACAGGCAAATGTGAGCTATTTTGAAGACTTTGAAAAAGACATGCCGACTGAAACAAAAAAAATGAAAATGTCTCTGTCAGCATTACCAGATGCAGACGATTGTAAGTAACCTCAGGAAAAAATAAAACAAATCTGCAAAGCAGCTTTGAAATCAGAAATAATTCCTTTTTAATAAATCTAAGTTAAAAAGCAAATCAATTTGTTAACAATACAAAAGCTAAATTTAGTTACCACTGTTCTCAAATAATATTCCATGTTTATCTGCCAGAAAAGAATGCTGCTGGGAAGTGGATTTAGCACGCTAATTATGGTCATTCTTGTGTTGGAAATAAGGTTCATTTTATTTAAAAAGTGGGAGCATAGTTGCTATCCCAGGTGAAATAATGTGTAGCATGGCCAGCAGGTCAAGAGAAGTCATTCTGCCCCTCCCTTTACTCTGGTCTCGTGAGACCTCAGCTGAAGTGCTGTGTCCAGCTCTGGGGTCCCCAGCACAGGAAGGACATGGACCTGCTGGAGCAAGTCCAGAGACGGCCACAAAGATGATCAGAGGGATGGAACACCACACCTCTCCTATGAGCAAAGGCTGAGAAAATTGGGATTGTTCAGCTCGGAGAAGAGAAGGCTCTGGGGTGACCTTATTGTGCCTTTCCAGGATCTGAAAGGGGCCCACAGGAAAGCTGGAGAGGACATGTAGTGATAGAAGGGGGAATGGCTTTAAATTGAGAGTGGGTTTAGATTGAATATTGGGAAAAAAATCCTAATTATGAGGATGGTGAGGCACTGGAACAGGTTGCCCGGAGAGGTTGTGGTTGCCCCATCCCTTGGAAGCATTCAAGGCCAGGTTGAATGGGGCTTTGAGCAACCTGGTCTAGTGAAAGGTGTCCCTGCCCATGGGGGGAGGGGAGATGCAACTAGATGGTCTTTGAGGTCCCTTCTAACCCAAACCATTCTATGGTTCTATGAAATTCCTGATAGATAAGTTTGCAAGCATTGCCTTACTTAATTTCCCAAAGAAAATAAGTTGATTCTGGATTTGGTTTAGTATTCATTAGCTTGTGATATGGTGGTCAGCGTAAGTGTAGAGACTGGACTTCAGTGGTGTTCCCTTTCATAACAGAAAATCATGAGTCAGAACTCCTACTCAGTGTGCTATGTTTTGCCACTGAATGACTATTTCCAATGTCTTAAAATTGTTTTGTAAGAAAATTCCTGATGTCTAGTTTAAAATCTACTCATACTTTTTTTAATACATCTTTCTTTTCAGCTATGTTAGATAATTCTGAATGTGACAACCAATCTCTGATGGTTCCTGATCAAATTGCAGAAGTAGAATGGATCGCTGGACCTAAAATGACTTGGGTAACATCATAATCTATTTCAGTTGTAATACTGTGCATATGCATATATGCATAATATACTTCTCAGTAAGATCAACCTTAGTGTTCTGTAGGACACCAGTATTATTCTATGTGTCTGCAGAATTATTATAACTGGTTAGAAAGTAAGTCTCTTGGACATCTCTGCAAAGGTGTGGGATGGTTCTCTGCTACTATGCATTTGTGGCAAATGATCCAGTAAACTTTGGCATATAGACAGGACTAGCTGTGAAAAGATAAGCAACAAAGAATATAATACTCAACTTGATCTTGTAGATCTGTTAATTGAGAGTGATTCTTTTTCTAGACTCAAAAAGACTTTGAAGAATCTGTGCAACTCTGTGAAGCGATAGCACTTGAAAAGGTAAGTCTGTTCTGAATTTTCTAGAATAAGACTGACATTCCAGCAACAGCTTCTAAAGTTTCCTGTACTGCTTCTTCAGGATATTGCTGTAAATAAGGCCAGCATCCTGCAAGCTAACCTGGATAACCTAGTGTTGGAAAATGAGCAGTTGAAATTAGAAATAAATGAAATAAAGGAGAAACTGAAGGAAAAAAAAGAAATAGATGAATTTGAAGCACTGGAAAAACAAACTCAAAAAGATCATGAGGTAAGGTGCATTGAAATAGATATGAATTCTCTATGCTCAAATGTTTTCTAGAGTTTATTCAGTGTACATAGACTTGGATGTTGATTCACAAACAGCTACATTTGCCAACAGAATGAATGAACACAGGATTTAAACTGGATTTACTTGGAGTGTAAAATTCAGACAAATGTTTGGCGACTTGTATATGGTTAAATGTATATTAGTGTGTGTGTCGATATGTATCTATATATTATTTTTATATACACATGATCTGAATTTCACTCTAGACTTCAGTAAGACAGTTGTTTTGCTGCTTAAATACATTTTAGGCCTGTTTTAAAGTTAAAGTGTGATTGCTAAACTCTATTTCACATCTTTCTTGGTTTACTAGATAGCTTTGGCTTTTGGTAATCCATGGACTATGTGAGCCTTAACTTTTAACATACTATTTAACTTCATCATGAAATATTTTAAAATAATAGTGTGAATACTAATGTCTGGAAAATTGAAACATATTTTGTGCCAGGAAGTCAGAAAAATCATAAACTTATCTATTGGTTAACTTATGATATAGGAAATGCTGATTTTCAGTTCTCTTCACCTCCTTGTGCAGTTAGTGGAGTATCTTGTTTGTCCAAATGTTTTATGCTCTGATTCTGTAACTTTAAATACATATTAATTGTATTAGGTTCTAGCTGCCCAAAGGCTAGACTGTGAAATAAATAATTGCCCAAAGAAAACCCAAAACCAGCAACCTGAGGTATTGAGACATGGATGTATTATTCTATTTCTTTCCTGGTGCCTTTGCTGGAGTGTACTTGTCCACATCAGACTGTTCAATATCCTCTGATCATGACACTAAGGATGACGTTCGTTACCTCCTCTTGCAGTGTTGTTTCAGGTTACAATTTAACAATATCACTGCTTAGTTTCATTGTGTTCCCTACAAAGATTTATGGACCTTAAAGAAAATGGATCCCTAAGATATTATAATTTATTTTGTATCTAAGATTCTTTTTAGAAGACCCTTTGTATGCTGGATTAATTGTGCTATCTGCCTCAGCCAATGTTTAACAAATCCTCAGTTACACAAAAACTTTGCATGGAAAACTGTATCTAATACAGATGCAGTGTCCTAAAGCAGTCTCTATTACAAGAATTGCTTTTTGAATGATTCAAGTTTTATGGACCTGAATACAGTCCATAAAATGTAAGCATTTACTGATGCCCATGTAGTAGATTAATTACAGCAATATTGAAAGGTCACATACTTCACTACATACATTAGTTGAAATCCATCAGTTTCTAAAAGTAAATTGCATAAGAATACTCACAGGAAAGCACTTGCTTTAAAGCTTTTCACCGATCTTAAAATTACAGATTAGACTTTCTCCTTACCTATGCTTGTGACTATAGAGAAGTACTTGTAGATGGGTGCTTATTGTAAAGCTTTTCTAACAAAGACCAAAAGAAAGGAATTCTTAAATTTCAGAAGTGCCTTTCTATGTAGTCTTCTACTTGTACCTTCTTTCAGATAATGCCACTGAATGTGTTCATGGCTTGCTTTACTTCAATTTTGGCACCTTCTCATTCCTGTTAGTGAATAGATTAAATCATAAATAACTGCACTGTGTCACAAAAAGCTGCTTAACATGACTAGAATTTGTGTCCTATCTGTACAATTTCTCCATGAATTGCTTTGATCACATCGCTCTTGCTTCTCAAGCTGTTGTAGGTAGCTCGAATCCTTTCTAATTACTGGGAAGCTAAAAACAGAGCTTTGCATCTTATCTATCCATTTGAAAGAATATGTAGCATCTTGCTTCAATAGATGTGTGTATGTATATATGGTTTGCCCACTACTACAGAAGAAAACACAAGATAGACCTTGCTTGTTTTCATGGTGTTGGCAACTAAAAACTATTGGTGTGGGTGCTTTCTAACATCCTCTGCAATTTTGCTTCAATTTGCTCCACAGATACAACTAATGCATGAAATTACCAACTTAAAGAATCTAGTTTCAAATTCTGAAGCATACAATGAGGAACTTCAGGTGAGCCTCTCCATGCATTTACATGCAGTAAGAATTGTATGAAATGTTCTTGATTTGTTTATCTTGAACTACTGTATCTGCTGTGGACATGATAGACATCATTGGGCTTTGGTTAGTCTTACCAGCTAAAAGGAGGATATGTCTAAAACCCATGAACTCTTTCTGTGTAGGTTTTTGATAAATTCTGACCTGAAAAACCAGGCACTAAAATCTTCCTTCTCTCTTTCCTTCAACTTTTAGGCAGAAAACAATTCCAAATCGGAACAGCTGAAAGAGAAAGACAACGAAATAAAGATATTACAGAATCTTGTGGAAGAATTACAAAAAGCAAGAGTGGAAAAAGAGCTATCTTTTTCAGTGGTAAACCTCAGTTTTCTGCTGGGTTGTATTCACATTTTAACCACATTATAATGAACATGTTTTCTTTATTATGTCTAAATAATTTTTTAATTCTTTGAATATTTTTCAGGGAGATTCTGATAAGCTAGTTGAGGAAATTCAGCAGCTGAATAAATCCCTCTTAGATAGTGAAGCTATAGCCTTGGATGCCAAAAAAGAATCTGCTTTTCTCAGAACCGAAAATTTGGAGCTGAAGGAGAAGATGGCAAGTACTTGTTGAACTGCATTTACAACTGTACCAAATGCTGTTAAGGGCACTTGTGCTTCCAGACTAGTGAAGAAGGCAATCAAGAGTAGTGGAGCACAAGCTTCACAAGAAAGCACAAGTCATTAGCTTTCTCAAAATACTCTAAGTAATGTTTTTATTATGAAATTCGTGGAAAACAGCTCTTCAGGAAAGAGATAAAAAGAAAATAAAGGCTTCTGCCACAGGAGCGGGTGGTTAGTTTTAGGTTTACCAGTAGAAAGCCACAATAAAGGAACAGTTTTTAGGGCATTACTAGAATGTAAGACTTCAAACCTCATTTTACCAGAGAATAAAAGACAATAAGAGATGTGAACTCAAAAGTGGTATGGAGCTTAGTTTGAGCTTTGAAGGAGTAAAGACCAAATAGTAGCAGCAGTTACAACCCTAACCTCTAAGGTATGTTTTCTGAGAGGGCTCTGACAAGAATGCAGTTGTTAAATATTGGCTTATTCGGCCATATTTATCAAAGCCAAAGCTGTTCAGAGTGACAACAGAAAAATGTACCAGATGTAGTATTTAAATGGTAAGCAAGTAGACTTTTATTTTGTGTGTGACTTGCATGTTTTATTGTTTTCCTGAAGAATGAACTCTTAAATAATCACAACCAAATGCAAAAGGATGTTCAATTATATCAAAGCCAAATAGAAGCGGGAAAAGCCAGTTACCGAAAAATGCAAGCTGACTTGCAGAGAGAGTTGCAATCTGTATTTCAAGAAAACTTAAGACTAACTTCACTCATGGAGGGTAAAGTTCCAAAAGGTACTGTTCCAGGTGGTGCTTGTTCCCCTCACCCCATTTCCTCCCTTTTTCTTGTGTTGGGGAGGGGGGAAATAGGGAAGACTTCGGCTCTTGTTTTCCTGAATACTTGGAGATTCTGACAATATAAAAATACTGGAGTATCTGGTATGTAGTAACTGCTTTAGCACGTTCTTGAACGTTTTGGAAAACTGCAACTTATGGAATGTTTTATGTTTTGCACAAAGGCAGTTAAGTTAGTGAAGGCTGTTGGGAAGAATTTAAGATAAACTGGATGCCAACCTAACAAGTGATGACCAAATTCAGACCAGGAGCTTAATTGTTGGCCATTGTATAATTGTCTAGAATTATACTTATCTGACATGCAGAATGCATTATAAATCTTCTGCTTATTTTAAAACATGATTTTCTTCTCTTGCACTCACTTATCAGTCTAAACTTGTTAATTCTCTAGATCTGCTCACTCCTATGGAGCTGGAAAAAAAGGCAACTGACTTAAAAGGAGAACTAGAAAAAGCTTTGAAAGAGAATGCACTTCTACAAAAACAAGTAAACGAGCTATCAGAATTTCAGTCTCTACCAAATACTGTGGAGATGCAGAAGAAAGAGGTAAAAAAAAAACCCTAACCTTTTTTTTCTTTATTTTGTATGGTACTTGACTGGTAATGTATTAATGGAGGCCTATTGGATATGAAGTTTTAAAGCCAAAAGTTGTCTTGAGTCAAATAACCTGAGACTTTACAATTAAGTTTGTTAAATTATTGTTTCTCAGGTATTTAATATTTTTACCTAGGAATAAGTTTAAGATTACATATTTAGTCAGAGTCTACTATAGTTTATTTGGATTTTCTAGTCCAACATTTGTGTGCCTAATAGCTGTGGTCACTATTGATAACTGAGTGTATAGATATAATAGTGTTTGATCCTGGATACTATTCTAAAACTGATTTTTTTTATCAGTTTGGACAAAGAGACTATGTCAAGATCTCTTGGCAGAAATGCTGCTTGAGAAGTGAGAGATTTACCTTGCAAATTGTGGAAAATGCATGAGCAAACTATTTGTTTCCTGGCAAGTCAAAGCTCTAGACTAAGTGTGCTGGAAATATGTTTTAAGGGGTTTGTTTGCAAATACTTTCTGGGTTTCTTTGTCCTTAAATACCCGCAACTAAGTATGTGCAATGAAAACTATTCAAGGCAAGTAATCTCACCAGCTCATTAACACTTTGCAAAAAGTTCCAAACCATCCAGTGGTCTACTTCCACTAATCAACAAAACTTCATTAGATGGTAACAACTTCATAAACTCTGTATCATGAAGAAAGTATTGATACACCTAAATATTCAGTTTAGGAGTCCAGTCTTAGCTCAGACATAGGAAAAAAGAAGTAGTAAAGAACATCTAGAGTTAGAGGAGTGATTTCCAGAATCTGGAAGGGGCTTGACTGTCTTTCCTCTCTTTTAAGGATTCCTTGCTAGACAGTTCCCTACCAACAAAGCAAAACTGTATTTTGAAATATGCTTGCCTGTACTTTATTTCCTATATCTGCATATGTACATGGTTTTTAGTAGTTATGACAAATACTGATTGAGAAAATACTATTAATATTGCCTTTCTGTTGGCAGATTCTCGAAAAATGTGAGGAGTTATGTTTATTAAAATTGGAAAATGAAAAGCTGCTTTCTGAAGTAGCTGATAATGAAATTAAACTTAAACACATGACTGAAGAAATTGAAAAATCAAAAGGTGATCTAGCAGATGCACAACTGAAATATATGAAGTCTGATCAAGAATATGTGGCACTTAAACAGCTCCATGAAGAAATGGAACAAAAATACATAGCTACATCAGAAAATAATGAAAAAATGAAGCTCCAAATAGAATGTCTTTCCAAAGAAGCACAAAAGTCTAAAACAACTTTGGATGAAATTAAATTAGAGGTCAGTGTCACCTTGTTCTTTTTTACAGACAGGACTTGAGAAATTAACTTATAGTATTGAAAAAAGGAAAAAAGTTTTTGGAGGAGTACTCTTAAAGCTATAAATGACAATATCATTGATTTCCTCTAGCATGAGTGGATATTACTTATTCTATGCCAAGGGTATAATGCTGAAGGATTATGCTTTTCAATCTTTTTTTTTGTAGGCAAAGAAGTGTATATATTGCTCCAGGTTCTCCTTCCTTACTTGATCTTTTAATTCTTCTTTTCCCATTCTTAAGTTTTATCTTTATTATGTAATTTTCTTTTTAATGCCACTCTGACCTTCTCTACATAAATTCATACAAACCTTTTAGAACACAAGATATTCAAACCAAAGAGAATTTCTACAGAAATTAGGCATTAGAAAGGAAAAAAAAATATTAAAGAAAACATTTAAGAAGAAAAGGGAGCCAAAGATACATATTTTTGACAAAACTTTGGGCACTGGTGTGTCTGTCATATTCCAACTATGGATTTGATAATTCCTAAAATATGCTACAGTTTCATGTGTGGTGCTATGTTTTAGTAAGACTTTTGCTTCTAAGAAGAAACCACAGGAAAGTTGCATAAAATATGCTTATTTGATGTGGGCAAGAGTATAAGCAGTAACTTAAAGAGAAATTATGAACTTCCTGTCTCTCAGCCCTTCTAAGCTCATATAAGATTCTGTGAGAACATGTACACATAATGGAGTTCTGCATTACAATGAAAATATCTGGCCTTTTCCTTTGCAATCTAAAGCTCTCGAGCAAAATGAAAGAACTGGAAGAAAAAACAGCAGAACAAAAACAACTTCTTGAGCTAAGAGAAGATTTTATTCAGACTCAGCAGAAGTTAAAGGAAATGGAGCAATTAAAAGTGGAAGAAAGGATGAGTAAATTGAGACTGGAAGCTAAGGATTCAGAGATCCAGGCAATTCTTCAGCAGCTAACTGAATGTCAGGAAGAAATAAAAACTCTAACCCAGGAAAAAGATGACCTGAAGCAAAAAGCAGAGTCTCTCCAAGCTGAGACAGACCAACTCAAAGAGGATATAAAGGACACTGTTTCAATGGTAGGAATTTTGGCCTTATAGAAATAGACCATACATGTTAAGAGGAAGAGCGTAAGAACGCTATAAACTGTATTGAAATACTTAGGGGAGCATGGGAGCAGTAGGTTGTGTGGGACTTTTAAATCAAGAAATGCCTACTAATATTGCAAGATATTTATATTTTCTTTGTGGATTTTCTCTCTTGTATTCTAAAGAACATCTTGGCACATGAAGAACTGAGAAATACGCAAAGTTCTCTCAAGCAATCCCAGGCCACTGTCAAGAAGTTGGAAAAATATATTTCTGAAAACGAATCTCATGTTTTGAGCATTGAAGAGGCACTAGGAAAGACCATTAAAGAACTCGAAACACAGGTAAAACTTAATGTTTAAAAATTTAAAATAAAAATTCTTTCAGTGTGTTTTCCAACAGAATGAGAACAAGCCAGTCAACCTGCTTATAGTCTCTTCTGCATGTTCTTAGAAAATTTCTAACTCCTTGGTAGCAGGTGGGCAAGAAAATAGCACTGCTTGACCCAAACCTTTACCAGCTGCTGATCTGTTTCTGTTGAGCTTCAAGCTGTGAAATACACTCTAATAAACTTCTGCTTAACTAGTGTGCCCCTTGGTTGTGGATTTGAGTGTTGGCATTTGATGGCAAATGGAAGATGAGATAAGAGTTACTTAAAGGGAAGGAATGAGGCTAATGATTTATAACACTCAGTCCCACTGAGAAGTGTAATGTGATTGGCAATGGCAACTCAGTTCCCAACATATAGCAGAAAGCTGATCCACTGGTTTTTGTGCCAGTACATACAATGAGATTTTTCTTTAAGTATATTAGCTACCAGCAAGTCAGTGGTTTTGTATTCAGCATTTGTGTGCTTTAGAACAGATGCAACAGTATAACAAAATGGGTTTCTTTGGCTTCTTCCTCTCAGACTTTTTTTACTTAAAAATCTGGCCAATATTGCAGCAGATATTGCTAAAAGGTTAGAAATTAAAGTATAACAGGTGACAAAGGCCACAGACTTGGATTTGTAGCTTTTCTGGTTTGGTCAGAGTAATTTGATGTTAAAAATACTGCAGAAGAGTGAATCAAACAAAAATGTTGCATTTTATTTTGAACTGATGGAAACATTGTCTTTGCATATTTTTTTTTAATAGATCTCACAAATGACAGAAGAAATGAAAGTCATCAAATCAGAGAGAGATCAGCTTGCTGAGGAAAAATCAGAAAGTCATAGCTGGAGAGAAAGTGATCAACTTCAGGAGCAAAAGGAACAAATCATTTTCCTTACACAAGAGAACCGCTCATTGCAAGAGAAGCTGGACAGTTTACATCTGAGAAAAGAAGAGGCTGGGGAAGGAACTTGGGTAATTATGCTGAGGCTGTAATGGAGAGCAAGTTGTTTAAACTTTCACCTCGGTGAAATAATTTACAAAACACATTGGAGAAAAGGGTCCTGGTCCATGACTGTACAACATTACACAAGAGGTTTATTATTGTTTACTTGCAGTTTACCCCACCCATATTGGTGTATATGGACATGTAGTAGTAGAATATGACTGTGAATAGAGTATTAACTTGATAGAGGCTGGTGATGTTCTGCATTGGTCTGCACAGGGTTCTATAATTAAGTGGTTCTACAATTAAGTATCTGAAGCTAAAAACTGCTTGTCTGGAAGGGGTGGTTCTGCTTTCTAAAGCATAGCTAGAACTGACTCTTTTCCTGGCAGTGAAAGGGACATTGCAACCAACCCTTCCTGTAATTGGATGTGCTGATTGCACCTGTGTCTGTGTAGACAGAGAATGACAGACAGATAGACTTCAAAACAAAAAAAGTAAAGTATGTGTATCCATTTTAATATGGAAGGGAGAGTGGACAGATTTCAAGTCCTGACACCATTGTCAAACTACTGCTGAGACTAGAAATACAGATAAGAGCTCCAGTTTTGGGAGGGGGAGGGATTTGTTGGGCGTTTTTGTTTTCATCATTGTTGTTGTTCACCCCATGCTTAAATTATGACAACGAAATTCTGCTTCTGGTAACTTCTTTCAGAAGTCCTTGCTTCAAATCTTATTTTTCCATGTCCCTTATTTCAAAAACCTTGAACTGCATGTTGTGTTCAGAGAAATTTTATTATTCTAAGAAAGCCACAAATCTCTCTAAGACAGCGCCTTTATTTTACATACTCCACATGTCAAAGCTCAGGTATACTTCTCTTAAAGCTACTTTCCTAAATGTGCTGACATCTATCTTTGCATAAAATAGGTACCACAGGTCCAAGAAAAATCTCTTGAGCAAGAGTTGCTTGTTGTGAGGGAAGAGCTCAACCAGGCCCAAAGGAAATTGCATGAAATGGAGGAAGCGAAGGCCAGTGAATACGAAGGAGAATCTGATAAAATGGGGGGAAGAGATTTTATTCCAAAAGTGCATGACTGTCAGGAAGTGAGCACCCAGACAGAAAGAGAAGAGGATGATCTTAAAATGCAACTGGAAAATCTCCAGAATGAGAGAGACCAGCTAAGAGAAACTGTACAGGAGACAATAAGAAAGGTAATAAAAATAGTCCTGTTCCTGTAGGGTAATGCTTTAGTAAACTTCTGCCTTAGGTTTTGGAAGCATTGTTCAGGTGTTAATGTACTTCAATTGTGTCCAAAGAATTCAGAGATGCAGAAGGAGTTGCAGTGTACTCACAGATCTCTTGGACAACATCAGGAGACTATTGTGGAGCTGAAAGAAAACATTTCAGACAAAGAAAATCAACTCTCGAAAGCGCAGGAGGCATTGAAGGAAAAAACTGATGAACTGCAGCAGAAGGTCAGAAAGAGTTTTGTCAAGTAAACTAAAAATTCCATCATGTGTGGCAACCCATGTCTTCTGCAGGCTTCAGTTTGCAGGGGGTCCAGTAAATGTAAATAATGAAACTTAACTGATAGTTTTTACTTTCTTTTTTTTGCCCTGTACTGCTTCTCAAAAGAATTCCATGAAAACAGAGGCAGGGAAAGGATGATCAAATGCAGTTTGACCTGCAACCTGCCACCCTTATTTATAACTAAATATGTCTTAGTGCTGAATGACAGAATAGTTTTTTGCCATCAATACTGCACTTTGAACCTCAATGCGTTTTCCCAGTCTTAAATTTTTTAAAATTTTAATAATGTATTTTAGCTATGTAGCCCCAAAGAGCCTTGACCAACTTTAAGGCTGTTTAACTCATGCTTTACTTGTTGCACTATTAGAAATTTCCTGTCTACTTATTATTTCATGTCTTAAGCTTTTAGGCTTTTAGGGTTCATTCTTATGTGTGGTAATGTCTTCCATCTGGTGTGGATACAGCAATGGAGACATTTTTATGGAATTAGAATGGCCTGCAGGTTTTCCCACATTCACTTTTGACTCTCAGTGAGAGAGAAGCACTGAAATTTTGTTGACTTTTAAGAAAACTGTTATATTGGTTTTGCTTATTATAGCAGGAAACTAATGGACATGTCTTCTGTATGATAATCCTGTTATAACAACCCGTATGTGCAAATAGCGCTTATGAAATGGGATCGAATAACAATCCCCTCAGATCAGAACCTGATTAGTGGGACAAGAAGATTTAGGAACTTGGGATGTTAGTGGTTGGTTTCTCTCCAAACTGTCAAATTAATTCTACCCACACTAGAGATGATTAGAAATATTAACACTGGGTTTGATTTGTTCTTTCAGCTCACTGAAGTAACTGAAAGGCTGACTCATGTCTCATCTGAATATGGCAAGCTTCTGGCAGAAAAAGAACAAATTGAAAGGACAATGAATGAGCAAGTTTGTCAGCAGCTTGAGAAAATCACTGTACTTAGTAAGGAGAAAGATGAGCTGCAACAAATGGTGGAGACTTTTAAAGAAAGAGAAGAACATTTGTTAAAGGTCCAGAGACAGTCAGAGATTTTGGAGGACAGCCTTACAAGCAAGGTGAAGGGGTTTGGGGTTTAGTAGCTACTTTGTCTTCTGATGTTTTATTACTGATGTGCTAAACTTTTGATCAACACAAAACCTGTTTTAGTTCTCAGCTGTTTTAGAGGCTGGTGATGTTCTGCATTGGTCTGCACAGGGTTCTATAATTAAGTGGTTCTGCAATTAATTTTTATGCTTGCTAAACAATCATGAACATAGGCAAAGAACTCTGTACAAGTGTCTCTACTGATATTTAGAAATAGCATTCTTAACTTTTCTCAGCTTTGTAACCAGTTGGGTTTGTCAGTGCTTTGGGACAAATGCCAATTTATCAAATGTGTCAGTTTTATTATAACGATCAGTAACTGGACATATATTTTGACTTTAAAAGGTACTGTGTAGAGAGCATGTACCTAAGCGGGTTTGGAATCCTTAGTCCTTTGCAACCTTTCTGAATATCAGACTTGGTTTTGGAGCTTTTCTGGTTTGGTTGTAGTGGTTCAATGTTAAAAATACTACAGAAGAGTGAATCAAACAAAACTGTTGCATTCAATTTTGAACTGATGGAAACACTGTCCTTGCATATTTTTTTTATAGATCTCACAAATGACAGAAGAAATGAAAGTCATCAAATCAGAGAGAGATCAGCTTGCTGAGGAAAAATCAGAAAGTCGTAGCTGGAGAGAAAGTGATCAGCTTCAGGAGCAAAAGGAACAAATCATTTTCCTTACACAAGAGAACCGCTCATTGCAAGAGAAGCTGGACAGTTTACATCTGAGAAAAGAAGAGGCTGGGGAAGGAACTTGGGTAATTATGCTGAGGCTGTAATGGAGAGCAAGTTGTTTAAACTTTCACCTCGGTGAAATAATTTACAAAACACATTGGAGAAAAGGGTCCTGGTCCATGACTGTACAACATTACACAAGAGGTTTATTATTGTTTACTTGCAGTTTACCCCACCCATATTGGTGTATATGGACACGTAGTAGTAGAATATGACTGTGAACAGAGTATTAACTTGATAGAGGCTGGTGATGTTCTGCATTGGTCTGCACAGGGTTCTATAATTAAGTGGTTCTGCAATTAAGTATCTGAAGCTAAAACCTGCTTGTCTGAAAGGGGTGGTTCTGCTTTCTAAAGCATAGCTAGAACTGACTCTTTTCCTGGCAGTGAAAGGGACATTGCAACCAACCCTTCCTGTAATTGGATGTGCTGATTGCACCTGTGTCTGTGTAGACAGACAGAATGACAGACAGATAGACTTCAAGACAAAAAAAGTAAAGTATGTGTATCCATTTTAATATGGAAGGGAGAGTGGACAAATTTCAAGGAAATAATTGTCCTGACACCATTGTCAACTACTGCTGAGACTAGAAATACAGATAAGAGCTCCAGTTTTGGGAGGGGGAGGGATTTGTTGGGCGTTTTTGTTTTCATCATTGTTGTTGTTCACCCCATGCTTAAATTATGACAATGAAATTCTGCTTCTGGTAACTTCTTTCAAAAGTCCTTGCTTCAAATCTTCTTTTTACATGTCCCTTATTTCAAAAACCTTGAACTGCATGTTGTGTTCAGAGAAATTTTATTATTCTAAGAAAGCCACAAATCTCTCTGAGACAGCGCCTTTATTTTACATACTCCACATGTCAAAGCTCAGGTATACTTCTCTTAAAGCTACTTTCCTAAATGTGCTGACATCTATCTTTGCATAAAATAGGTACCACAGGTCCAAGAAAAATCTCTTGAGCAAGAGTTACTTGTTGTGAGGGAAGAGCTCAACCAGGCCCAAAGGAAATTGCATGAAATGGAGGAAGCAAAGGCCAGTGAATACGAAGGAGAATCTGATAAAATGGGGGGAAGAGATTTTATTCCAAAAGTGCATGACTGTCAGGAAGTGAGCACCCAGACAGAAAGAGAAGAGGATGATCTTAAAATGCAACTGGAAAATCTCCAGAATGAGAGAGACCAGCTAAGAGAAACTGTACAGGAGACAATAAGAAAGGTAATAAAAATAGTCCTGTTCCTGTAGGATAATAGCTTTAGTAAACTTCTGCCTTAGGTTTTGGAAGCGTTGTTCAGGTGTTAATGTACTTCAATTGTGTCCAAAGAATTCAGAGATGCAAAAGGAGTTGCAGTGTACTCACAGATCTCTTGGACAACATCAGGAGACTATTGTGGAGCTGAAAGAAAACATTTCAGACAAAGAAAATCAACTCTCGAAAGCGCAAGAGGAATTGAAGGAAAAAACTGATGAACTGCAGCAGAAGGTCAGAAAGAGTTTTGTCAAGTAAACTAAAAATTCCATCATGTGTGGCAACCCATGTCTTCTGCAGGCTTCAGTTTGCAGGGGGTCCAGTAAATGTAAATAATGGAACTTAACTGATAGTTTTTACTTTCTTTTTTTTGCCCTGTGCTGCTTCTCAAAAGAATTCCATGAAAACAGAGGCAGGGAAAGGATGATCAAATGCAGTTTGACCTGCAACCTACCACCCTTATTTATAACTAAATATGTCTTAGTGGTGAATGACAGAATATTTTTTGCCATCAATACTGCATTTGAACCTCAATGCGTTTTCCCAGTCTTAAATTTTTTTAAATTTTAATAATGTATTTTAGCTGTGTATCCCCAAAGAGCTACATAGCAACTTTAAGGCAGTTTAGCTCATGCTTTACTTGTTGCACTATTAGAAATTTCCTGTCTACTTATTATTTCATGTCTTAAGCTTTTAGGGTTCATTCTTATGTGTGGTAATGTCTTCCATCTGGTGTGGATACAGCAATGGAGACATTTTTATGGAATTAGAATGGCCTGTAGGTTTTTCCACATTCACTTTTGACTCTCAGTGAGAGAGAAGCACTGAAATTTTGTTGACTTTTAAGAAAACTGTTATATTGGTTTTGCTTATTATAGCAGGAAACTAATGGACATGTCTTCTGTATGATAATCCTGTTATAACAACCCGTATGTGCAAATAGCGCTTATGAAATGGGATCGAATAACAATCCCCTCAGATCAGAACCTGATTAGTGGGACAAGAAGATTTAGGAACTTGGGATGTTAGTGGTTGGTTTCTCTCCAAACTGTCAAATTAATTCTACCCACACTAGAGATGATTAGAAATATTAACACTGGGTTTGATTTGTTCTTTCAGCTCACTGAAGTAACTGAAAGGCTGACTCATGTCTCATCTGAATATGGCAAGCTTCTGGCAGAAAAAGAACAAATTGAAAGGACAATGAATGAGCAAGTTTGTCAGCAGCTTGAGAAAATCACTGTACTTAGTAAGGAGAAAGATGAGCTGCAACAAATGGTGGAGACTTGTAAAGAAAGGGAAGAACATTTGTTAAAGATCCAGAGACGGTCAGAGATTTTGGAGGACAGCCTTACAAGCAAGGTGAAGGGGTTTGGGGTTTAGTAGCTACTTTGTCTTCTGATGTTTTATTACTGATGTGCTAAACTTTTGGTCAACACAAAGCCAGTTTAAATTTTAGTTCCCAGCATGTCATTTTTATGCTTGCTTTGCACACTTTCTATATAACTGATAAAGTTTGAGAGTCTTGCACTCAGCTCTTGCCAATTCAGTCTTTTTTCAGTCTTCACTCCTTAGACTTTCACCTGTCAAACTGTTCCTTTGTTGATCAAAAGTATGATTGAGGATTGCTTCAGATTAGGAAATGTCACTGTTCATTAGAGCAAATATAAATCCAATGTCCATCTTTTATGCTTATCTTCTATTTCTTTTAATTTTCTTGCCATATGGACATATGTTGGCTGCCTTTTCATTTGCTTTCTTGCTTTACAGAACACTAAAGTTCACTAAGAGTTCTCTGGGTGTCAGGCTACTCCTTTTCTTTAGAATTTCTTTTTCTGAGTTATTAGAACAGCAAAATTATTTTTAAACTTCTCTTGCTGTTAATGTGCATTTTAGTTATTGGAAATTGTGTTCTTTGTATTTGACAAAACTGATCTGAGTACTTCATAGCGGAGTATTCAGACCATGGCTATCAAATTGCAATTGTAATTTCTTTCTTTTTCTCCACTATTTATTGTAGATTCAACAGTTAACTGACACACTAAATAGTGTATCATGTGAAAAAGACCAGTTATTAGCTGAAAGAACTAGTCACTCTTTCCAACTTAGAGAACAAATTGCATCAGTTAATCAAGAAAAAGAGGAGCTACAAAAACTTCTTCAGGATGTCAGGACTGAGCGGGACCAGCTCAAGACAGAATTGCAAAGAAATTGTGAGATGGTGGGTGTTGCAATTTGCATATCTAAGTTACTCATAAATTCTCTTCTTGAATGGTACTTAAGTATGTCTGGCTTTATTTTAGTGTGTTGAAAGAAATGCAAAACTGGAACGTGCTTTAGACCAACTGAAGCAGAGAAACCTGAATGATATGTCCATTCAGGTAAACTCAGTGGTTATTGCAGAGCAGGTGGCTGATGACAGCCTGAAGGAAAAAAGCTTGAACATTAAGGTAAACTTATTTCTCTGATTCTTCTAAGGATCCATGTAAAATCTTAATGCCACTTGTCCTGGAGCATAAACCTCTTGTATTATGGTTTGCATATCTTGCTGAGCTGCAAACCATGGGATCAGTTGATTTGCTGTTGCTGTTCAGTGTTTGCACATCTTGTCTCAACTGAAAAGTTCAATTTAATGTTCACAGAACATCTTACTTGCTTTCATTACTGTCCAGTAACCCCAATTTTTTGCAAAATCCCCCCCAAATGCTCCCTTCCATTACTCCTCATCAAATAATAAATTGGCTTCAAATAAATTAACTCTTGTAAATCCTCAGACCTTTTGTTGGTTTACTATCCTGAGTACACTTTCACACAGATATGAGAAGTACTATTAACCTACTGAAAGCCAAAATAAACCAGAATTTATGAATTTTAAAGTATTGCAGTATTGTACTGCAGACTATATGTCTGTGCAGCAGATTCAGGCATCATTCTATATGTGCTAGAGGAACCCTGAGTGCTGCTTCAGTTAACAACAACAGTGGTAAAGAACCAAATTGCAAAAATCAATCACATGTAGCTTTCTCCATCTCTATCCTACATCAGCAGTAGGGAGCTAATAATGAGGGAAGTAATATCAATTGATCCTTTTAACGGCACTCTTCCCTTTGACTTCTGTAATAGGTGGAACCTTTGTACCTCTTTCTTGTACAGTTTTCTCAAGTATCTAGTACTTGCTCTTGTTGGATGCAGAGCATATGTCAGTTCCAGTGTTTTTACTTTGGGGTAAGAGAGTTAAAACTGGTGAATCCTGGTTCTTTCAATTAGCAACGAACGATGGAGAGAGTATGCCAAAGGAGTTTTATGCTTTAAAATGTATAATGTAGCTTGAGAGGCAATACTTGAGTTGCCCTTTATTGGGGAGTACCTTCAAGCCTGTTGCATTCCTCATCCTGCTTGCTGCTTGATCACACCTTTCTTTTTATGGCAAAGTGTTAGGAACAATTTTATGATCTCTTTCCTTTGAGAAAGGACCAAGTAAATAATGTGGGAGCCCACCCTGAGACAAGGCCAGCTGACAAACTTGTGAACAGGCAACAATTTTATTTGAGGCCTGATCTACAAGTCTGGATGTGGCTGGGCAATCTAAACCATGAAAATAATTTGAGTTTGTGAAATGACTTGCTGGGAGACTAAGAAATTTTCTGCTTTTGTCCCTAGCATAGTGTTTCTATCTTGTCCCTGTGGCAAGTCAAAACTGAAGTCTTGGTTTTACAACAGAAAAGTTAATAGAACTAATACATACTGTACAGGTTAGTTCTGGAGTCTGGTCGTTTATTTTAAGCTTCTGTTTATAGCTAATCCCACTTTCCCTTATTGTGAATGAATTAATTTGTTTCACTTGCATTTAGGAGCTTCTTGAGAAATTCTCAAATATGGGGAAGAGGTATGAATGCCTCTCTACAGTGTCTCTTAAGCTGAAGAGTGAACTGAATAGTCAGAAAGCGCTGATAGCTGTGATACTGCCTCAGCTTTCCTTGGTACAGAGTAAACAAGTCAAAAGACTTCAAACTGAAAATGAGAAACTAAACGGTCATCTCCAGAGTTTACTGAACAAACTGAAGGTACCAAGATGTGGATGCTTCATATTGCTTGAGTTTGGTTCTTTTTTTTAATAAGTTCTCAATATTGACAGTCAGGATTTTATGTACTATAGCTTTGATTTTTGTGAATCCATATATTGTAGAAAATAAGCTGATAGGAGTAAATGCTTTACAATCTTAGACAACTGGAACTGTGTAGTTATGTTAATCAGTCTTAGTTTTTGACTGTAGTTCAGCTGCTTTGCACAGTATTATTTCATTAATATTATTCCATTTTAATTAGGAATTGAAATTTTTTTCTGTACTCCATAAATCAAATTATAGATGACTTATAGTGTATTTCTTTGTGGGAGAAAGAGATGTGCAAATTGCATTGGAGATGCACGTTTACTCTGCAAAACTAGCCAAGTAGTTTGATTTTATAGTATTGCAGACCTTCCCCAAATTGGAATCAGTTTCTCCATTGAACTATAATTATCAGAAAAAAGTTAAGGTTAATTGGGAGAGTATTCCTGTTGTCATATGCAGAAGTACCGTAAATGATAATGTTTTTTCTGTTTCTTTATTTACCATGAAATATTAAGGGTTTGGGGGTTTGTTGGCTGGGGGGAGGGAAACATGGATGGGCCTGGGGAGAGAGGGCAAGGTTCATGTCCAGTTTACAAAAAACACTGGACATGATCTTAAGAGTCAGTCATGTCTATAGATATCCATTAACTAAGCAGCTGAACTAATAATCCAAATAGCCTTATTTTATAATTTCAAGTAGGGGTTTTAGGTTTGATTTTTTTCTTTTTTTTTTTCCCCATAGATGGCTTTTAACTTTTTATGGTTAAAGATGTTTAAGACATTAAACTAGTAATCTCAACTAGAACAAAAATTTTAAATCATCACACTGATATTATTCTCATAGATCATCTGCACCTTTCATAGCTCTAATATTCCAAAAATTAGTTTGCTTTTCAAAGTTGAGATTCATGGAAGGCTGTCTGGAGCTTTTTAGACTTTTTGGCCTTTTTAGGAGTCTACGAGAAATGGTATACTTGAAAAATGCTGTCTTGGCTAAAAGTCTTATATGCCATTGCTATAAAACACGTGAATCTAATTTTCTTAGCCATGTGTTAATTATTCTGGACACCTGCAGGCTTGGAGAGTAAATAGAATAAATTGTAAAATATGGAATTTTAGCTGGATGCAGGGTACTGTTTTAAAGCATGCTCACTGATACATCCTGTGCTTCTACAACAGTTTATGTTCAGTCGTGTTTGCACAAAGAAAAGAGACTATCATACTACTGTTAACAAGTATAAAATGGAATTGCTTGAGGAAAAGAGAAGACAAGATCATCTACAAGCCGAGATTCAGTATCTCAGGAAGATTCATTTGAACCAGAATGATATACCGTCTCAAGAATTAAACATCAGTGAAGGGCTGCAGAGTTTCCACTTGGATGCAGAGGTAATATTTGAAAAAAATTCAGATATTAAAGACTTCATCTTTCAAGGCGTGGGGTGTTGTGGTGGTGCTCATCTGATGGCATTAAGTTTATCTGGTTGATGATTTAGATAAGGGGATTGAGTCCATCAGCAGCAGCTTTGCAGATTACACTAAGCTAGGGAGGAGTGTCGATCAGCTGGAAGGCAGGAGGGCTCTGCAGAGGGACCTGGATAGGTTGGAGATTTGGGCTGATTCCAACAGGATGAGGTTCAACAAGGCCAAGTGCCAGGTCCTGCACTTTGGCCACAACAACCCCGTGCAGCGCTACAGGCTGGGCACAGAGTGGCTGGAGAGCAGGCAGGCAGAAAGGGACCTGGGAGTTTGGATTGACAGGAAGCTGAACATGAGCCAGCAGTGTGCCCAGGTGGCCAAGAAGGCCAATGGCATCCTGGCCTGTATCAGAACAGGGTGGCAATCCATAGGTCAAGAATTGATCTTCCCCTGTACGTCAGCCCTGGGGAGCCTCACCTGGAGTGCTGCTGTCCCATTTCTGGGCCCCTCAGTTCAGGAAGATATTGAGTGTGAGCAGTCCAGAGAGGGCAACAAGGCTGGTGAAGGGCCCGAGCAACAAGTCTGATGAGGAGAGGCTGAGGGAGCTGGGGCTGTTCAGCCTGGAGAAGAGGAGGCTCAGGGGAGACCTCATCACTCTCTACAACTACCTGAAAGGAGGTTGTAGCCAGGTGGGGGTTGGTCTCTTTTCCCAGGCAACTATCAGCAAGACAAGAGGGCACGGTCTCAAGTTGTGCCAGGGAGGTTTAGGTTAGATATTAGAATTTCTTTACAAAGAGTGTGGTCAGACATTGGAATGGGCTGCCCATGGAAGTGTTGGATTCTCCGTCCCTGGAGATTTTTAAAAAGAGACTGGATGTGGCACTCAGTGCCATGGTCTAATAACCATGGCAGTGTTGGATCAAGGGTTGGACTTGATGATCTCGGCGGTCCCTTCCAACCCAGCTGATTCTATGATTCTATGATCTGTTAAAACTTTACTTAAGGAGGATGAAGGAATTGTGTTAGTATTTTTTTATGCTACTAGTTCTATAATGTGAAGATTCCATTTTGTAGAGTGGCTGAAAATAAAATTAATAGGTTAGAAAATAGTGGGAATGTTATTTACTTATTTGCCCTGTAAAATACGTACTGCCTAGTACCAAGATGACTTCTAAAACAATGAAATCAACTTCCCACCTGCCCCAGCAATGCAGATTGTCTTCTCATTTTCCCAGTAGGGTGTAATGTATAGCAAAACTCCTTTTACATGATAAATAGATGTTAAAACAGACTTCCTGCTGTATTGATACCTAAGAGGACAGAATGTATATTTAGACATATGGTTATCAAAGTGATATTTAAATTTTAATTCCCTTTTTTAAGAGCATTCTCAAAGATGTATCAGAAATGGAAAGTGAACTTCTCTGTATAGAGGCAGAATTACAGCAGCAAGAAAGTGCTAGAAAAGAAACAGTACAGTTCTGGGAAGCTTGTTCAGAAACTCACTGTAATGCAGAGGAACTGGAAGAAGAGTTAAAGAAAGATACTGAAAGGCTTTTGCAAGTCATTAACTTCTGGACTCCTAAAGTAAAGGTAAAATTAAATGTTATAGAATCAGAAATGTATTTGGTATAAGCAGTCTATAAATGCCTAATCTGATTGAAAACAAAACACACAAAGGCTCTTGAATGATTATTCATTTATTATCAGCACTTACTATACTTTTACTTTACTATAAAAATCTTCTAAGTAGTCTTACATCTTAGAGATTTCCTCATGCATCCAAACTTGGAAACTTGCTTTCTGGTCATCTTAATCTGAATTCTGGAAACTGTAAGTTCAAAATCGTTATATAGCTTTGCTTGCCAAACTTCATCAAAACTACTTTAGCCATTTTTAAAACTCAATTGTAATTCATATTAAATTTTTCTAATCTCAAAAAGTCAAGCTGTTCTAGAGATAGTGCAGCCTTCCTTTCTCTTTTCTTTCTTCTTACATCTTGCCCTCTTTGGAAAATAAGACAGCATTTTTCAGGGTTAAGTGCATCATGAGCGGATTTCATGAGATTTCATCTTCCTGATTAAATGTTAAGTTTAGCCTATTTTAAAAAGTTTCTTCTGTACAATCAATAGTCAGTCTTGACTTCATCAGGATTTCCCAGTGTTGGCAAGCTTTTTGGAAAAAAGTTTGTGGATCAAAGCTTTTAACAAACAAACAAAAATCTCGTATATTTGTAATTTCCTGACAAGTGTGAAGTTTTTCTTTGTCTGACATATTAAATATATGGGTTTCTGGAATAGCCCAATGTGTATTTTTTCTCTAAAACGGTTTAAGTTTCCTTAGTCAGTGACTATGTTCTAGCAAAAAATTCTGAATAGTTGTGTTTCTTTCTGTTACTGATATTCAAGAAGTCTTTCTAATATATTCCTTTGTTTCTGTAATAGTGCTTGAGTTAACACAGAAACACTGGTAATCCTGCAATGTACTATCATCTTCTCTTTTGGAAACAAAACCATTCTTATAAATGTTACTGATTACATTTCTGATAGCAGGCATTTTCAAATGGGACACTGAAACAAGAATGTGAAATTAATACAGGCCAAGATACTTCCTGTTTTTTTACTTGCCTTATTTCTAGCTGATTCAGAAATTATTTAAAATTTTATCTCTATGACGCTACTGCAGATGCTCCTTCAGCTTTCTTCAGAACTGGATGCCAGAACTTCCAATTACAGTAAAAATGCTGATGTTGAATTGAAACAGAGAAAAGAGAAAAATGAAGAGTTGCTTCAGGATCTAAACACTCTAAAAGAAAAACTGGCCCCTGATAACTCTGCCAGTCTCATGTTAAAAGAAGAAAACTATAGGCTTCATAATAAATTAAAGGCTGCAGAACAAGATGTAAAGGTACCAATGCTTGTTTCTAAGGAAAACTTCTTCGATGCTTGCTTTCTAAGTGAGAGTACTCCAAAATGAAAATAAAGATTGATTGGCAACTATAAATCTGTTCCACCACAATATGTTAGCCCAGAGTGTACATTTTAGTAGCTTTTTTATTTTCAAGTTTGAGCTCTTGCCTATAATGTGAGTATTTTAATTACCTGATTTCTGTACACAAATAGATGTCAGTTTAGAAATTCATATGACATGTTTTCATTTGATTTTGAAGTATTGATTTTAGTAGTGTGATACTCTGGATGCTTCCTGTAAGTATATGGTATTCACTATGTCAAACGCAAAGCTGGAGAAAAGTTCTCTCTAATCACAGGAATTGAGGACTCATTTTCTCTTTCCTAGGTTTTTTTGTCACAGTTACCCTTCTTCTAAACCTTTTTTTCTTTTCTTGGACTTGAGTGTTCCAGACTGTTAAAAGGGGACACAAAATAATGATCTAGACACAAAGAGTTGCCATTGAGCCTGTAGTGTTGGATTTTTTTTGTGTTTGGGGTTTTTTGTTTTTGCTAAGAATATGACTGTGTGCTGTTACAGCTACTGTCTCTTGACATAACTACTCATAACTGATTGATATATTTCAATAGGCTATGGAAGTAAAAATTCAGAAGTTGGAAAATGTAATAAATGAAGTAGGAGAAAATGTCAAAGAGAAAGATGACAGAATAAACAAGTTACAAGCACAGATAAGTATAAAAACAGAGACAAGTGAGCTCACCCAACTGCAAGCCAAACTGAATGAGATGGATAAGTGCCTCAGGACTGCCTTAACAGAGAATCAGAGTCTTCAGGTATGAACAAAATACTTTACTATTCTCATTTTCCTCTGATGAAAGACAACAAGCATGCTTGAGAACAGCTGTAGATGAAACATAGAGCTCTAAAGTCAATGTATTGTTCTGTATGGCATTCCTAGAGTAAAACACTCTACTTGCATATTTAGCATTGCAGTTTCATATTCTACCAGCACAACCTTCAGAGGCAAAATTTACAACCCATAGTATAATATTAGAAGGTAAATTTATCTGTAATGCATTTGTGAAACGTTCTAAAAAAATTTAAAACTTTTAAACTGAAGCCTGATCTGCTTTTTCAGTGTAATACATTTGCATGCTAGTCCAAAATTCCCAGACTTACACCTGTGCAGAAGTCAGCAAAACTTGCTAAAATATGATTGCATGTAATACATGAGAGTAGGATACCAACTGCTACTATAGTGCTAGTTGGTAATGCAGGCCACCTTAGTGAAAATAACTTCTGCTCCCATTCTTGTCCTGCAAAATCTAGCAGATCATAGTAAAGATACAAGGTAAACAACCCTTAATTCCATTGTTAAGTAACAAGCCTTTCTTTGTACTAAATATTTTCATTTCAGGCAAAATTAGGTAAAGGTTCTGAGTTGTACAAAGAAGAAATTGATCATCTCAAAACACAATTGGTAAAATGTGATATGGAAAGAATGAAACAATCCAACTTTTTTGAAATGAAGTAAGTTCAAATTTTATGTTGCTACTTCGTTCTTAGCTTCTACTTTTCTATGTTCCCACATAATAAGAAGTAAGCATTAAGCTTTAGCTGTCACAGGTTTTTATTGTGTCTAGATTCTAGAGAAGGTAAAATGTATATGCACCTTAGGTTGCTTACACAACTCCTTCCCTCTACACCCACCAAAATTTCTCAACCAACCATGTTCAGCCATAAATGAAATAACTGTTCTGACAAAAGAAGGCAAGGGGAAAGCAGTAATTGAAAGCTTTCTCTAATTCACTAGAGGGAGGGGATACGCAGAGAATAATTAGTCCAACTTTTGGATTTGTGTACTTTACCTAAAATCTAACTGACAACCAGGTTTATGTAGTTCTTCTTGTGTAACTTGGGTATTTCTTGTATTTGATAGCTCATTGGAATTCAAATTAGCCCTTCTGCAACTGTAATAACTATTAAACTGAGGTTTTCTGTTTTGGGTTTTTTCCCTCCCTTCCTGCCTCATAGACTTGCTAATTATAAAGCTCTGTCAGAACACCGAGAACAAGAGTTAACAAAGCTAAAAGAAGAACTTAGAAGAGCACACCAAGACCAAGATGTTACTGGTAAATTCAAGATAATTAGAAGGGACTCTTGACATTACGTTTTAAGGTTATATGGTTAAAGACGAGGTTGAGGTGCAGGCCTTGTATCTCAAAGGCTGTGAGGAGAACTGGGTGCATTGAAAGATGAGATGGAAAGCAGACTACCTTAGCTCCAGATACACTACATTAGAATGACAGCAGTTCTTGTGTTTACTTCTCTGGCCACATTTGCACTTGTGGAGGGACAAGCTGCAGTGGTCACATTGCCATTTTTTCCTTGACTGACTGCACATACAAATAACTAGTTCTAGTCATAGTTATGACATACCTGAAACAAACTATTTAAATTCTAAATGACCCAATGAAGAATCTTATGTTTCTTAGTATCTCCCTGGCAGTGGGAATATTGGGAGGTGTGTTTGTGTAGAAAAAAGAATAGCTGTTGTAATAGCACTTGTAACCTAGGGAGGTTTTACATATAAGACCACAATAGTGAATAGGCTAAAAAGTATATTGAGTTGGTTTTAAGCCCTGTCCAAACAACACACACACATATCTATAAAATTGTTTTTCTAGTGCTGAAAGAAGCAGTTCCTCAACAATCCCAAATACCCCTTACTTGTGGTGGTGGCAGTGGTATTGTGCAGAGCACACAAATACTCGTGCTAAAATCTGAGCAAGCTAAGATACAGAAAGAAAACTTGCACCTGAAGAAACAAAATGACCTTCTACTAAGGTAAGTGTAAAGCTGACTGGCAAAATGTCAAAACATTTGTTGTATTTAACCACGCATGTCATTAGTGTTTCTTTCTGGGACACCGATAGAAGTAACTAATCATTAATTTGAAATTTGCTAGATTTTTTCACTTCATAAATTTTTACTTAAAGCCAGTGATTTATGGCTTATAAAGCCATTTATGGCTTTGGAACTTTTAATTGCTTATTTTCATAAGAATCTCTTAAATGCTGGAAGATACACTTGAATTGTATGCTGGGAGGAATTTTAGCTTAAAAAAATAAAAAAAAACTTCCTCTGAAAGATACACAACTATTGCATTGCCATGTCTGTAGTATGTCATCTGAAAATATAGGAACTGTCTGGTGTTCCAGAATTTTTCCTTAAAGGAACTGTGTTTTGGTTTTTATATTCTTAATTAAATGCTGGGGTTTTTTTCTTTACAGTAATGAGCGTCAGCTGAAAGAGGAACTCAGGAAATGGAAAGAAAGAGCACTAAAATGGAGAGAACGATCCTCAAGAGAAAATACTCGAGAGACAGTACCACAGTCTCCAAAAAAGACAGTATCATATTTCTTTAAAGAACAAATGCTTTCACCCTCCAAGGAACCTATTTCTCAGGAAATTGTGACTCAGGACCTATCAAAACCTCTGCCACTGAGTTGTCCAACAAATTTCTTTGATAATTCCAGCCTCGGTATGCTAACAGGTATGTAACATAGTGGTGTTCTGTAAAGATTTGGAGAGGAGAAATGTAAGGATAGTCTGAGTTGAGGGTAAATGCTCTGTACTTATATATTCAGACCTGAAACTTGCATGATAACACAGTTTTCCTGAATGGTTAGTCAGCTGACTGTTGAAAAGCTGACCATGTGAGCTGTGAGGCTATGTGTGCTCTACATAACAGAAATATTTAAATGAATCATTCACCTCCTGAAGATTATACAAACTTCTTTCTTTTCTGCAGTGAGAGTGTTGATGACTGATTTTTAAAAGTGAATCAGCAAAGTATCATTGTTTAGATAATGATGCTCTAAAATGTTTTGCTTTTTAACTTTATATTGGTTAATCACAGACTTCTGGTAAAATTACTGAAAGTTAATGGCTGTTGACTTTTTTCAAGATGGTAGGCTTTAGTCTTTGGTGTTGCATCTGCCACACTGCCTGGCTCCAGCTGCAGTAATAGCAGTTTTGATGGTGACTTCAGTTCCTCAGCCTCACTCCTGATTTCTTATATCTGGCCTGGTGACTTCTGGGGAAGTCACCTCCTAGTGGTCTCTGCTAGTGTATTAATGCTACTGCCCTCATCATTACACTTGCTTCCCCCAACTTTCAGAAGGCCCCAGCAGACATGTTGAAGAGTTAACCCGTTTTTGAGGTATCACTAGGATACTCTCAGAGAGAACATGACTCATTGCTGGTTTTGTGATGGCCAGCTTGGTAATAGTACAGAGTTCCTCACAACACAAAGCTACTCAGGGGCAAGCTTTGATAGTTGACATACAAAACACTAGTCAAGATTAAATCACTGTATTCCTACAGCTTGTCTAATTGAGAAGGGCTTTAATGTTCTTGTCTTCTGTACAGATACATGTCCTGCGGCCACACAGTCCACAGAAGAACATCTTAAGCACTTGTTTGGGACTTCAGAGAAAGATAAGGCCCCTGATTGTAGCACCCAGTAAAGGTGCTGTGTTGGAAGCTGCCTTTGCAGTGGCTACAACCAGAATCTGCATATACAAAAGATAATTGCTTCAGGTTAAAAGCCATCAGCCTCTTCCATCCCTGCTGTCTTGGAGTTGCTACTTCCCACGATTGGGAAACTGGAATTTGAGGTCAAAAATGGAAAAGTAGTCATGATGTCCACAACCTGCTTATCTGATGATGTTCTACTTTGGTGTTTTGATGTTGTGGGGGGTTTTGATGGCAAAGAAAGAAAAGATACTATATTGAAGAAAAAAATGGAAATGGATCATAAACTAACCTACTGTGAAAGTTCTCAGTCTTAAACTTTTCATTCTGTCATTCCTAAAACAGCCCTCTTCTGGATGGTTGATATTTGTATCTTCTGACTGCTGTTGACTTGGAAAGAAATATTCTTTTTGTTTCTCAGCATGTGGTTTTTATACCATGCTTTCTCTAAGTCCCCAGAAACTGCATTTTCACTACAATCTAGAACTGAAGTTACTAATTTTCTGTTTATAGAGCACACAATCAGGGTTCCTCTTAAACTCCTTAGAATGTTTCTGCAGCTCAGCCAATTATGATACCAAGAGTAACTTTGAATTTTGGACCATCTTTCAATATATCTGTTTGAAGTTATGTATTGGAGGTTTTTTTAATAGTAAGCAATGGACTTAATGCTCTTCTGCTACTCTTGTGAATTAAATGTACACCAGATCATTCGGGCAAGATGGACTCTCTTACTAGCCTACTTATCTGTATTGTGAGAATGTTTTTATGTATGCTTTATATAAGAAAGTTTGACAATAAACTTTCATGTGTTAAGTATTTAAATTTTTTTCTGTTGTTCACTTCACCTGTGGTATGATCCAAGGATGTTGATTACAATATTCAGTGTCTAAAGGCTATTTTTTATACTAATCTCATCGCTTCCATCATTATTATGCTTCTTGTCTCTGTTCTCTGTAATTTTTTGCAGCAATTACTTGTGCTGAAGCTTACTATTGCACAAGTCTGTCACTGGAGTTTTGTTTAATTCTTTCTGAGTCTTTCTCTGTCAGGAAATGGTTGAAGTCTAAAACATAGATCCTCCTCCCTTTCCTGCCCCCACACCCTCTACTGCCAACTAAATAGGAATTTGGCATTCAAAGCCTTGGATCAACTCCATTAAAAATGAAACCATTATTATGAGATAAGAAAGTCGTATCTAAGAAAGATAACTGCACCAAAAGCATCATCCTTATTTTAAAGGAATAAAGCTCTCAGTGATGCTCAGTCTCATAAGTATTCCATTTTGGGTCACCCAAAGTGATAAGCAAATGGCGACGTTGACACCTTCCTGGGCGTTCAGCAGTTACTGGAATTGGAAGAGTCACACAGGGATTATTTACCTAACGGAGGTACTTCAGAGATCTATAATAAAGAACCAACTATCCAGTTGCCTCGAGTAGCTGAAAACTGCCAACTGTGGTAACTACTAAGAAATTGCAAGCATTTATCTCTCAAGCTCTGACCTGTAACATGCTTTGGGAAGCATTTGAAGATATTACTAGCCAAAAATACACAGATTCTAAATACCATTATGGAGTTCAGAACTGAAATGTCTTCTTTCTGACCACAGCCATAGGCAGGCAAGAGCAATTTATTTTCTTACAGGGACAAATGCAAAGTGCTGATGTATTTGTCGCAGGTTTTTTGTTTAGGGGGGTTGGTTGGAAGATTTTTTGGGTTGGGTTGGGGTTTTGTGCTTTGGTTGGTTTGGGTTTTTTTTATTTTCCACTATGATTGAAAGATATTTCCTTCGGGTACCAGCATTTTGGTGTTCTAATAAATGAATTAAACTGTCTTTTTTTTCTTCCAGAAGGGAAAAAGGTGTGTGTATATATATATGAGAGCTACCTCTTTCATATACAATTTCCAGGGGTTTTTTGGTTAATTACTGCTTGTTTGGAACATTTCTAGATTTGGAGATTTTTCTGGTAATGGAGCAAAAAAAAAGCAGAAGCTTATTGCAACAGGTCTGTGTCTGCATTCAGAGGCAAAACCTTAGGGACAGAAGGATAAATGCTTTTAGAAAACAGTCATTAAAGATTTTATTTACTGGGGAGCTGATTTAGACAGCCCTAGAAAGCTATCATAGTTTAGCAGAAAGACAGGATAAACTGAACTTTTGTGTATGTGTGTCCCAGTTTATCCACAGAAGGGGCTTTTCTGAGGACAAACTAACTAAAGGTTAGGCAGGACACCAAATTTCTTAATATTATCAGGGTAACTTTATGTCTGGTATGAACTTCTCACTAAATTACTTTGTCCTAGAATTTTTCAGTCTGATGATATTAACTCTGCTTTAATAAATGTAAGTTAAACTGCTAGATAACAAAGAAAAGTTCGTAAATCACCAGTTTAACAATAGTTGGCATGATTAATATTTTCATTGTTGTCCTAGTTTGGAATTTGATAGCTTATATTGCTAAAGAGAGATTGCTTGGAAAAACAGGTTTGTGGCCTTTTTTTTGTGGGAATCCTTGACCTCTTGAATTCCTTAGGGGAAAGAGAAAGCTAATGCTGCCAATCCTTTTCTGTCCTTTCCTTTGCAGGAGAAAAACCGCACTTTTAAAATCTTAGGTTTCACTAGATGGCAGCATCTCAGTGTTTCAACAGGAAATTACGTTGATATAGGAAACACAAATACCAACAAGCACAGTAAAAAACTTGTAGAACTTCCTTTTGTACAAAGGTCAGTAACGGAGCCGTTTTAGATCTCTTGGTGAGTGACTGTATTACTGTTTTTTTGTAAGTGCTTCATAGAGTCTGTGACAAATGTTGGTAAAACCTGATTGCTGTATTGAAAAATGTATTTATAGTGCATTTTGCTTCCAATGTGTTACGGTGATTTGGGGAAGTAATTGAACTGATGAGGTGGCTTTTGGAAAGAAAAGAATTTTTCAGTTACATTGTTTCAGAAGTCTGATTTATTGAACCTGTAACCTTCAGGAAAACAGTTTTGCTCCAACTTTTGTCAGGAAAAACATCTGACAAAACAATGTCTCTCTGATGCAAAGAAGAGAAATTAATAATCTGACTTAAGACGTAGAACACTAAATTTGATTTGGTAATCTGAGTCACAGCATGGATTTGAGCTTCTGTAGAATATAGCATTGGCTGCTAACAAAAGGAAGATTAAGGTACCTTTATCTTAACTTCCCAGTGAAGAACTTGGTGTGTTGGTTTCACGTGTATATTTTTATGTGTATATTCTTACGACACCTTTCTACATTCATAGCTACATAGACAAAGTTTGCTGAGAGGACTATAAAACTGCAGAAAATTTTACTTATGGGGAACCCAGTTAAGAAACTCCAAATACTGCACTCTGACTGGAACACAGTGACCTTACTTTTTAGGCAGTTCTTTGAAACATCCTACTAAGTCATTTTGTCCTTAAATAACAAAAAATCCACAGAAGTGAGGTGATGACACTTGCTTTCACTTGTGTGTCTGCAACTTTGCATGCTTTATTTCTTTAAATCTAACGTAGCATATGAATGTGTGCACTGTGGCAGAACAAAGCTGTATTTTGCCTTTTGGCTGCTACACATTGACTAAGGCAGAAACTCCTAAAAGTTCCCTGCCACTTGCCCCCCAGGCGTGCTCTGTGGTTCCCTGAGAATAAGCAACGCCAGAGAGGGGAAACAAGACAGCTTCATTCCCCTCCCACCTTCCTGCTTCGTTGGAACTGGGAATCTGCTGTGCTGAAAGACTCTGAAGACAATTCAGAGCAGATACCAAGACCAAGGTATTGTGTGGAATTTATTGCAGTATAGGAAGTTGAAGTGTTTGTAGCGTGAGAGAAACAGGAGGAAGACCTACTTTCTAAGTACACAATGGGCAGTGGAAACACTAGATTACAAGCTATTGTTATAATGAAGCCTAACTCTTGAGATCAAATGCCTTTTGGGTTTGTTTTTCTTTGAGGTCCTTATATATAATTAATTTAAAAAAAATGAGGAAAAAAAAAAGGTTGAGGCAGTCGTGCCCCTTAGAACCTGAGGGTCATGCTGCAGCCAAAAAGGACAATTGTGATGGCAGAGGTACACTCTGGATCACGTCTAGTTTTTGGAATGTACTTGCATCTGATTCCTGGGGGTTGGTGTTGGTTCATGTTTTTGTTAAAGTTTCTGTGACATCTCCTGTCTGCACAGGTGGGCGCCATGGGTCGGCTGGATGGGAAGATCATCCTGCTGTCTGCGGCAGCACAGGGCATCGGGCGAGCAGCTGCTATAGTGAGTTGGAAAATGTTTATTCTCCTGTGCCTAAGCAAGGTCTCTAATGCTAGCTTGTCTAAAAACACCTGCACCAAACCTGTTCTTGAATTAATAAACCGTAGATGAAGCTAGAACTACGCACTGAAAAAATTGGGGAATAATGTATCCACTGTACTGTATCATGCAGGCTTTGTGCTGTTTGAATTTCTGAAAATCTCAACTCTGAGTGGAGATGTTAAATAAGGATAAGAGCAAGATTTGAGAACAGCTGCAACTGCTTTTTTAATATATGGTTGGTAGTTTGGTTTTGACCTGTCTGGCATGGGAGGCCCTGCCGAAGGCATGTACCATCACCAGCATAGCTCGCAACCGCATAGGGGCACACAGGCTTCTTCCTCACTAAAATGGTTAGGGCAAGCCTTTCATTCCCTTCTTTTCTGCCACCCCACTGTGTTACCAGAGATCTTCCCTCGCACTGCTCACCCGTGACACTCCATCCAGGACTGCCCCGCCTGCCCTCCCGCTGGTCCGGGGACCCCCACGGTCCGTCTGACACCCTTCCTCTCCCCCAAATTGGACTGGCAAACCTCTTGTCCTCCCAAGTTCTTCCTCTCCTCTCCCACGAGGGCACAATCCCCGCCGGCGGTGAGCTGCTTTACGCTGACAACGATGCCCTCGTCGCCCGTGCAGAAGTAGCTCTGCAGCGTTTAACAACCTGCTTTGCTGAGGCTGCTGAGCTTTTTGGGATGGAAGTCAGCTTGAAGAAGACAGACGTTTTCTATCAGCCTGCATCTCAGGAAGACTTCCATCATCCCCATATCACCATTGGTGAATCAGAGCTGAAATCAGTCCAGCAGTTTAATTACCTATCTATAACGCTGCTGCTTCCTTTGAGAATGCACGCAGGATCACCCTCGAAGAGAAAAGACAATGCAGAAAGAATTGTGTCTTGCTGACAAGGAGTCTTTCTGCTGTGCCATTTGCAACCGGACTTGTCTATCTCGCATTGGCCTCTTTAGCCACCAGCGTGCCTGTAGCAAGTGTGGGTAGAGTCCTTCCCAAATCTTTGTTCATGAAGCCTAGCCATGATGATGATAGTTGGTACTGTCTGTACCTTTAATCCAGTATCTCTGCTGCTTTGTTCTGGATGATAGAGTGAATATTTCGTGGTCTAAAGCTGAATACTGTGAAGATCCCCTATCGTAAAGCCAAGACATTTTATCTATATTCAGAGTTGACATAGCCAAGTCTACATGATACTAACAAGAACAAAGCTACAACATTGTTCACAATGAGCAACTATAAGAAACCCTTTACAAATTTTGTTTTATTACTATTGAACAAAATTTAATAGATATATTAACTTCCCACTTAGCTTGTAATTCTTTTGACCAGTTCTCCTGCTTACTTCCCTTTAACATAGCAAAGAAAAAACCCAGTAATTTCAGTATCTCTGTAATGTAATCAACAATCCAGGAAAATCTCCTGTAAGTAGGATTTTTGCCAGACTAGTTAGTTTCTCGTGCATATGGTTAGAAGACAACTGCTGATCTTTGCTCTTACATAAATAGCTCAGTCAAGGAGTAGGTAATCTTCCTGATAATTTCAGTTTGTAAATACCCAACAAGCCATGGAAGGCTGGTATGTTTAATGCCACTATCCTCTTAAGCTACACTTACTTTTGAGACACTTACTTTTAAGAATTAGGGGCTACAGTCCAAGATGTTAGCATACTTTTGACACAGAGGTTACTTTGGTAGCTGTTGATTTGCCAGTAATCGCAATACAAA